CTCCTGTGACTACTTTAGCGGCTGATTGTGTTACCTTTACAATTCGGCTTCCCCTCCTTCCTGTTTTGTACCCTTGGAATGCCCGATAAAAGTATCCCCACTGTGGCTTTCCACCTGCACAGGAGAGGATACGGCACTGGTCCGGGGTCAGAATGAATATGCAGCCTCATGGGGAAGCCACTCAATATTCCCCTCTAACATGCAGGTGATATTGATGAAATTACAAGAATTCTTTGCGAAAATAAATTAATCTCAAATGTGCAAATAGGGAAAATATAACAATTGTCACACCATTAAGGTGAAAGAACTAAATCCTGCAAAGAAAAATGAAGTAGAAAGGTGTTGAATCGTTTCTTTCCGGCCCCCAAACCTTTCTGGTTCACAAGTTCATCCGACAATCCTGTGTTGTGTTCGCCACTCCTTTTGGTTACAGGCACTACGGTATTTATTTAGCACAGTGCCGTCCTGATGAACACAATTGATAAAGCAAACAGGAAGAGATGTACTTTTGATAGTATGTATCAATGTGATGCTATCAATGAATAAGTGGATGTAAATTCATGTCAATACTAACAACTATTGGCGTATCGTATATCAGGAGTATCGGGTGTAGCCCACGACGGCCCGGGACAGCTGATTGAATTAAAGTTAGAGAGATTTCCTCATATACATGCTTATATCAATAAACGAAGAGTGCGCTTTCAAATGAAATCATATTTTGAAATAAGATAACAAGATGTCAAAGCGCTTATGTTCTTTTAACAGTTTTCTACACAAAGCTAAAATCTCTAAATAAACCTTGCTCGGTTTGCTGCCATGTGTCGCGTACTTGTGTTGTGTTACGTCCAATACAAGAACGAGTATTCATGTGCAGAGACGCGGTTGGCATTGTCAGACTGTAACATATTTCTTCCCATAAATTCTGTTTCATTCTGAAGAGAGAGAGGGGGGGGGGGGGCAATTTATCTGTCATGGCTCCTAAAAGAGGCGGCTCACTTTGCAGCACCCCCCCTCCCTTACTGACAGCAGTCTTATTAGCCACCAGGGAAACCGACCGCCACATGAATTTGGCCACTGTTCACCTCTGGGGCCGGGACAAGCCTCTTTTACAACAGCCCCAATGACGTTGAGATTTTCCTTTCAGCTATTAATTTGATAAATATATTAATTATAACCAGGGGATGACAGTCCAATCAGATTGTCAGGCGCCCGGTCGCGGGCCCCCACCGTCCACTTTGGTGATAAATTCTCTCAGGTTTCTACAGCTGTCATCCAGTGGGCTTGGACTTCTTATCAGCGCCGGGACCATTCTAGGGATAATTTCCTGTGTGTCGTAATTAAATGGTGGCTCTCCAATGGAGAACAACTCCCCTTTCAAAGCACGGACCTCTTAGAGTTGGTCTCTGTTGTGATAAGTTAGGTGGGGGCACACACTCTTGACAGGGTCAAAAAGATCAAAGTCTAAAACATGGTTGAAAAGGAGTATGAGGTGACTAAGGTCGATTGATTGGTTTCATAATAATAGAATTAGAATTGATTTCATGAATTAAATGTGATGTGATCACCTCATTTTAGTTCCTCCTTAACAAAGACAATTTTTCTTGCAAGCCGGTTCCAGCAGTAAAGCAATAGTACAAGAATTTGTCATATTCTGTCCAAGATGCATGATACCAACACTACATACACATATAAAAGAATTAGAGGTTTGAGACTGAAAATCTGCCTGCTGCACCAATTTAACCCGACTAATTTAAGTTGAGAAAGTTAAGAAAAGCAACCTTGTCATGAGGTAGTAATTGGGAATATTTGTGTCTTTCCTTATTTCATTTCATTTTCAACTTTTTTTCAGAAAAAACTGCTCCTTTTAAAATGAACCACCGGCCCAAAACGCCGCAGAGAGTCCCGACAGACCAAGAAATCCAGTATCGGCTGAGTCGGACCAGCGAGCCTGGACGCAGACAGGTGCTCATCACAGGAGCTGCTTTTATCCATGATGATGACGAGCCCCACAATGAAAATGACAACTGGGGGACTGCAGCAACTGCTGAGCGAGGCGGAAAGGGGAGGCTGAGGTGCCAATAATTGTCTTCTATACACTGAAGTTAGCAGCATGAAAGGTTTGGGGTGTCTGTCAAGGGACGGCAGAACCGAGGGCACAAAAGAGGAACGAAGGAGAACAGGAGTTGAAGAGGTCAGAAGAGTGACTCCTCAGCTGGATTGTCAGGACACTCGACGGAAGTGGGAACCAGGCCGCAATAAATTAGGAGATCAGAGCAGTTACACGACTAGGAGTGAGGATTGACGAGGCAACCTGGACTCAAACCAACCCAGTTACTGTTTAAATGCAAAATACAAAGAGAAAGAGGATGTTGAAATATCTGTTGAAAACAATGAAAAAACTTGGTCTCAGATGCAGAATTAATGCAGTAGTAAGATTCTTGATGCAGGGAGGTTTAAACAAAAGTCCTACCACCATGTCCATTAAAAACATCAGTCAACAACAAAGCATCCGCGGTACACGTGTAGGAAGCGGGTAGGACAGAGAGCGCCGCACGAAAGGAAGAGGAGATGTGAGATTGAGTTTACAACGTGGAGCAGCCCGCTGTAGAAACCAGCGAACGTTCCCTCTGCCACCGGGGCCTTGTCTGACAGCCGTCTGGACTTTAAAAAGGGGTGATAACTTAATTTCTACTCATGTCAACACCGCCGCAGCGGCCAAGAGGAAACTGTGGGCCTATTGTGCGTCTGTCATATCATCCTGCACTTTGTGGCTCAAAGAATGAAAAATATTTAAGTGGCTTTGATGTCCTGGATCTTGTTGAACTGCTCTGAAAGTATTTGAGTTCCCCTGACGCTCATCTCCCTTGTGCCTCGATCCTTTTATTCTCAGCCTGGTCGACCATTGACCATTTTTGTGTGTGTGTGTGTGTGTGTGTGTGTGTGTGTGCATGCACCACTTGCTTGTTTTTAGAGTGACTTCCACAAAACTGCCAATACTGCCACGTACGCTGGCTGCAGCAAACACAAGTGCAGGGCTTATAACTGGAACAACCCTGAGCTTGAGGGCGTTGACAGCAGCTTCTATCTGCCAATCTCCCTGTGGATATTGTTGCAGTACTGGCAGACGGACGGCCAGGGCTTGTGGGCTGAAAGACTTCCTCTGTCAGCAGGTTATCATTTCCAATTAAGCCCTTTCATCTAAACGTACAGTCAACTCCTCGGCCTGCCCCCAAAAATGACTCGAATAAGACGTTATTAGCCTATTTCAACAGGTCCCCCCACCCACCGACCCACCCAGCCTCCGCCCCTGTTTGCTGGAGGGGTTGGGCAATCTTTTAAAGCATTACGGTTCTAGATTCTTCAGCTATCTTGATCCGAATAGCTCAGGACTTCCAGACGTCCGCGGCGGTGGTCACGTTCTGCTTGGAGATAAACTTTCAAAATTGCACCGGATTGACACACCGGCATGTCCCCTGGAACATGTGTAGCAGCAACAAGGGCCTTTTTGTCCCGTCGGGGCCCACTGTGGACAGCGCTGTTCCTATCCTCTGTGCAGGAGACACGAAGGAATGCGCGCGGAGCTCAGTAACTGTCTGTTGAAAAGGGCCTCACAACGTCTCATTTCCTTTAATAACGTGCCCCCCCCCCACCCACCCACCCCCTCCCCCCGGGGCATCCGGATGGAGCGGCTAAATACAGATTAACCCTCAGCATCATCAGCGGCCACTCAGTCAACATGAGCGACTCACTTGTGCACGCGTACCTAAAGGCACAACTTGCACGTCATAAGGATACACAGTATTAGGTGTAAAACTAACATTCTCAAGGGGTTTTATAGTTGGTTTAGTAAAATAAGTCGTATGCCCTTAATGTTTCCACTTGACCACAACATGCTTAGTTCAACAACTGGAAGTCATCATAGCACAATATTATTTATTCGAAAGATTAAAGTTTAAAGAAATGTATAACTCACTTTCAATGAAGGCCAAATGGAGAAATGACAAAGCAGAATAAAGCGACGCCATCACCAGATTCTGTGAAAATGATATCTATACCTTTTTAAAAATGTTTGCTTCATGCTTAAGTATGGGGGGAAATGGTTACGGTTAACAGAAGCGTGAGTTGATCACACGTTCTGTTTTAGTGTCGCATCTACTTCACATACTCTTTTCCTCTTGCTATTCAAATGACGCTCTACTTTCCACATTGTCGTTTGACATAATGAGATGGAAATATCTTCATATATGTTCCACAGGGCAAGTCTCACATACCACATAGTACCAACTCAGAGTCTGTATTTTCATAAATTCTAATTTAGACAGAACTCACAACAGAACCACAGAAATGAACCTGCGTGATGCAACATCTGCCAGGAAAGCAGGTCCAATCCTGCTCTCACAGCTTCAGGGTAAAACGGCCCAGCTGCAGCTGAAGTGCAGCTGGGCCTATAACCTATACACCTGCCTGTAGGTCCTCGCCAACGGCTCTGGCGTGTGAGTTTGCTATGCGGTTCGTCTAGTTTTACAAAGAGGGGTTTTAAGTGCAACTCAATTCACAATTTCCTCTTTTAGCTCTTTAGTGAGATACACTTTCCTGGAAATGTGGCCCTTCTAAACCACATCGAACTTCCTGCCCGATGGCACAGAAGTGTACACCGTGGAAGCAGTCAAGAATTCAGATAAGTGCAGAATTAAACTTCAATTTCTGATTGAGCCCCTTTTCCTTTGGCTTAATCTGCTTCAAATGGACAATAATACTTTATTTATCCAGAGCGGTGGTGGAGTCGTGCATTGGTGAGAGGTTGCACTTTTAATCATTTTAGATCACGTAGAAAGTAATCCTCGGAGTAAAAGGAAAAAGAAAGTGACAAAAGGAAAGACTAAAGAGAAGTAAGGTAGAAGGAGAGGAAGAGAGAAGGAAGAGAGAGAGAGAGGGAGCAAAGGAGGGGGAGAGTAATCAGGGCCCCTTTACCGGAGGAAAAGAAACACCATCAGAAATACTAGGATAATCCTCTTGGTTTTAATGGTTCTGAAATGCTATGAAAGATTAAGTAAACAGTGCATTTGATTAATGGGAAAAGAAGTCAATTGGCCATGGAGCATGAAGCGGCACACAATGCTCCTTTCATTCCCTCCGTGCTGCCGAGAGCAGCGATGGTCAGAGGGATGTCTTTGCATGGACAAGTTTCCAACATACAAGAGTACAGTGTCACACTTTGGAAACATGAGCGGTAACGAGGAAGCATCAACGTGTGACGCACACAGAGAGAGAGGGGTTTAAGCGGATGAGGAAATGGATGGAGAGTGCTACCATTCCGGTTTTGATGACAGGACTTAGAGCTAAATGAAGCTAAATGCTTCACTCACTCGTTCCTGATATTCTGAAACTGGCCTTTTTGACCGAGGTGGATGTCCGAAGCCTCCTCCTCCTCCTCCAGCTCCAGGGTCACTCTTCTTTGGCTTTCTGCAGGTAAAGGTCGTCTGGCCCAGGTGCTTGCCCTCCACTTGACTCCTTTCCAGCAGGCTGTGGCTAAAACAGAATCTGCAGTGACCCATTCAAACTCAATGTCATCTATGCACGATCAAATCCCCCCAAACAGCTTAGCTGGGCCGAGTCGAGGCCTCGGGTCTGGGGCATTAGTCGTATGGCAGTTAGAGGCGTAGACGAGGGGATTAGGCCGAGAAGCTCATGCAAAAAGCGTCACCTGTAAGGTCTTGAGGAGGAATAGGAAATAGTTGCTTGAAAACATTATTTGGTAATAATCCTCTATCTGATTCTGCACCATTTATGTAGCATGTATAAATATTATTATCTAAGGATTTTACAAACTAATGCAAGTAATTCTGAATTTCAACTTAAAATGGAACCTGTGATCTGGTTGAGGTTAGAGACAGATTTTAGTTATCCCGGATAGAATATGGCAAATTTAGAAATTCTCCCAATCCACAATGGCAACCTCCCCCATCCTAACTCACTACCTAGCAGGAGGTGGGCACTGAACTCTGGCGATGGATGGTGCAGCAAGGTGCAAAGTTCCTGAATAAATGACAAAAAACAGTATCCATACAAATGACATTTTTCAAAGACAAGTTTACAAGCAACAAAAAACAACATATAGGTAACACAAATAGTCCAATACCACAAGAGTGTTGCAAAAGAATGTGTAATGTTCTGACCCTGGGGCCGTGTGACTAATAACTCTATTTTTTATCTCACCTATTTTCTTTTTTTAGCATTTGTCTGTGTTGCTCCGCCATTTGTTATACCAACTTACATTAATTTGACATCCTACTCACACATATGCATTTACTTCCTTAAAAGGTCCCTCCTTTGAAGGCCGTAGGGCCTGTTTAAGAAATTCATTTAAGCCGAAAACAAGTTAATTGCTGAAAACAGTAAACAATATCATTTGTTTGGTTTGTTTGGGCTCTTGACCTCGACCTACAGCACATTCTTCACTGACAGACTACACGGGATCAGAAGCAAAACTTTACCACGACAAAACCGGTGTTGACTATTAACCGCTTCTTGACCACGACAACCAATTTGACCAACAGTGTGCATCTAAAAAGAGAAGTCAGCTCAACATTATGTGGCAAACAACTTCTTCATTGCAGTTATGTAAAAGATATATTGATATGCAAGGAGCCGTGACTCAACAGGCTTCAGGATACCAGAGAATCCACAATGGCTGCTAATCCCCAACCAAAGCCAGAGGCGGCCCGAGGCAGCATAAGCTCTCCGGTCCTCCCTGCTATCACCTCCCTATTTACTGCCATGCCGTCCCCACGGCGCTTTCAGCCACTCTCCTCTTTCTCCTTTCCAGCCGCTAATCCTCTTTAAAGACATTACCCTGCTAACATATCCAGTCATAAGGTATAAAAGCCCAGCTATCTCTTTACTGCCATCGGCGGTACGCTTAAATAGGCCTTTAATGGAGGGAAGCAAATGGGGTGCATCACGGTTTTGACCCCAAACACGATTCTGATCCTGGTCCGGCTGAGTGGCCGTCTGAGGTGTAGCATGTGTGGGTCACAATGGAGCTGAGGGAGAGGAAGGGGACGATGGGGAAAGAGCTGAAGTCAGATTGGTGTGTAGGACGCTTTAAAAGATTAAGTATTTTCTTTTGTGGGTCTTTGCAATACAATCAAAGGAAAGGTTTTCAAACTTTTTGGGGAATTCACACACTGAGGCCTCTGCATGGCACAGGAAGGTAAACAGAAATTCCTATTGTGAGTAAGCTTCAACACTCACGGAGCATCTGAAATGGTAAATAACAGGAAGACAAAAAGTGTCAAACATTGACAATAACATCTCTTGCCAAAAATGAGGTGGTTATGTTCCTGTAAAGAAGAAAGCGTATATTTTGATTCAAATCTCACCCCACATATTTCATCCTAGCGTTCGGGTTGTTATGAAACACTGCTTTAAAAACACAAAAGACGGCAGCTTGTTTACAACAACAACAACAAAAATGTTTTGCACAGTGTGTTTAGTTCCATTTCCGGTCAGCACCTCTCTGACCAACAGAGTTCCGTCGGTGACGTGGCCCCCGGCCCTTGATGCCACTGACATCACTTTAATGAAACAGCGCCAGCGAGTGCTGACAGCTCGGACGACCCACCGCAGCATCCGGTCACCTCCAGCAGGTTGGGCTGGCCGAGCGAACAGAGAGCAGAGAGTGCCCTCCTCTGGTGGAAACAGGAAATGACACCAACACGGACCGGAAGTGCTGCGGCAAATGAGTTCCCCCTGACACTTCCTGTCACGGTCGACTGTTGTGAATGGTGGAAGTAGACAACTTCTTAAATTTGGCTGTAATTTAAATCGGTGGGCAGATTATTATTTTGACTGTTAAGCCAAAACAAACAGGCACAGGAACAGTTTCTTTTCGCACCCACTCACTCGTGCACGGTCAAAATATCCACTGCTAATTATAGGTTTTTTAGTGTTTAACGCAGTTATTTCCAAATGTATATATAATCTGTCACTGCTGATATAAACACACGTATACAATATACGTCTTTACGTAACTGCTCTACATGAACATGCATTCCATTTCTGTGAGTATGGTTTACAATATACACAACACTTAGTTTATATTTAATTGTTTGCCATTGTTGCTTTTTACTCATATCTATATAGTATTCATATGCACAGCTATTGTCAGTCCTTTCTATTTTTTTTTACCTATATTGCTTCAGCTTTGACATCCTTCTCATATTGAGTCAAATTCCTTGTATCTGCACAAATATTTTGCCAATAAAGATTGTTCTGATTCTAAGAATAGTATAAAAATGTTTACCTACTATTATCATTATTATTATATTAATGTGCAGTATTGTGTCATACAATTTCTCAGTCAATGGACGACGCTATTTCACTTGATACACGTTTCCATCCACTAGAGGGAAGCGCTGCATCAAATGTGTTTTACTAAATCACTTAACGCTCCAAGCCGCTGTATGTGAATGTAATTCATTGCAGCAGCAGCAGTCACAACTGTCAGCGAGGAGCCCGGAACGGACTAATCGGCACATCCATCCACCCACACCGCAGACAGCGTGGGGGTGGTCATTGGTGCCGCTGCTTTTGTAACAGTGTTTTTATTACACATTTAGTCTCACGATCCCTTCTTGTCTCTTTGGTTCAATGGTCAGAGGTAAAGAGGACACAGAGGTATAAAGTATTGCACTAACAGAGTGACACCACGCCAAGGATTTAAAGTGTTCATTCTTTTTGACATGGTTTTTTTCTGTCATAGTACCAGCTGTACTACTCAGAATGGACATGTTGCATTGGGTTTATTGGGCGGGAGGGGGGGAGAATGCTCCTCTTTCCCAACTTAAACCTATTACTTCTAGTGCTGCACAATTGAAACCATCACTTCAAGACAAGCATCTTCAAGAGATGCAAGACTTGCTATGCCTGAACTGAGATGAGGAAAATAATTTGAATAATTGGACTTCAGCTCTGCCTTCAATACCATCATCCCGTCTCTGCTGCAGGACAAACTCTCCCAGCTGCACGTGCCCGACTCCACCTGCAAGTGGATCACAGACTTCCTGTCTGACAGGAAGCAGCACGTGAAGCTGGGGAAACATGTCTCAGCCTCTCGGACCATCAGCACCGGTTCCCCCCAAGGCTGCGTTCTTTCCCCTCTGCTCTTCTCCCGGTTCTCACCGGTCACTCCCCTTCATGCTGCACATGTCACTTTAACTGTAATTTTTCACTTTGTCGTCACATGTCACTTTGTCACTTGTTCGCTAGTGCACTTTATGTGTGATATTTTTTAACTTTTTTAATGTTTTACATTTTTAAGTCTTTATTCTCTTGTTTTATACTAACCCATAGCCTTATTCTACTAATCCATTGCATTAGAATTTCATTTTACCTTATTTTATTACTTGTGCACTGCTGTCTTGTTGTCTATTGTTACACTGTCTACTGTCACGCACCAACCGCCAAGACAAATTCCTTGTATGTTTGACATATTTTGGCAATAAATGTTTCCTGACTCCTGATTCCTGACAGGTTCCTAAGCAATTAGCTAGGTCCTGCACTTTAGAAGTGTTTAATTACATGCAAACAGTGTGAAATCAAATTTGTAACTGTAAATAAAGGAAGCATCATACCTTTACCTCAGAGCAACAATATTAAGATAATATGCACCAGTGTAAACGATATAGTTGTATATACTACAAAAAGGGCCCCACATAAAGCCTTTGATGTATATTTAGATGAATATTTAATTCAATGTTTTGTTCTTAAGCCTATAAAATACTCATCAACTAACTTGTCTCCTTCTACTAATATTTGGCCTTCGCAGGTTGGGTTGTTATAAAAAAAAACATCCCCTCACAAAAGACGGAAATGCACAAAAAAAAAGACATGTGCACCGATGATTCAGCCGACGCTCCTCTGATGAACCAAACCGACGTGTTAAGGTATGAATCACGAAATAGGACAAGCGGCTTGGCAGTAGATGTGAAGCTTCCTCTACAGAAGTGAGACGGCTGTCCAAGCACTAAACAAACAAGGAATAATACGAAAGGACATCCGCAGTAGTTGTGCACCGGCCAGTTGGGGCTTCCGCCAGGCATTGGTCTATTTACCCGGAGGCCTGAGTCATCCATCGCTTGCACCGTCTGCATCACGCACATACAGTTTAGCGTTATTGCTTTACTAACTTTTGGTTTTAGTTTTCTTGCGAGAGCTGACAGATGTCGTCAAAGGAAGAAACTCTACCAAAGACAAAAAGGTAATGAACAAAAAAAAAAACGAATTTCCACAAGAATCGAGGTTTACAGAAACACACACGTGGATTTGAAGCTGTATGTGTGAGATGTTAAATAACGAGCCAGCTTCACAAAACATCAAAGATGGTCCTGACATGTACCATCAGGATCCCTCATTACGACTCCCTGCTCCGTTTAAAATAAAATAAAAGCTGCTCCGAGTCATGCTCGTGTGCAGCGATGTCACACTTATTATCAGAGAAAGGACATCAAAGCAGCTGGCCGACCACGATTAACTGAGCCTGGAATCGCTGAGAGGATTTATGTCCAGCCAAGACACAACCGGCCATTTGAGGTTTAGTCAACATGAAACCCCGAAGCCTTCAGATCTACAGCAAAAAGCAGAAGAAAGGGGTTCTGCTTCTAACGAGGGGACTTAGTGCTGTAACTTTTTTACAAGCGTGGAACAGCGATACAGTCGGAGCAAGAAGAAAGCAGATTAAGATGCTGACTTTCCGATTTAGTGCAGTTAAAGTTGACAATCACGGTCAAATTGGATTTATAGCAAATCTTTAAAATCAAAACATACAAAATGAAATAATGTCACTACTTTAAACACAGCCTTGCTTTCAGCTTAATTTGAAATTTATGCGAATCAACAGGTTTTGAAAAAAGGCTGCAAGGGAAAAAGACACTTACACAAGTATTCTTCTCTCTTCCACGACGGTCCAGTACCACCAGCAGGCTGCACACTGACAGACAGACAGACAGACAGTGAGCAACAGTGGGACATTTAGCAGCTTAAGTGACATTTATTTCAGTCGAGATGGAGCCCAAAACAGGTGAGAGAGTGAGTACACAATGTAACTCGCATCCAAAGGAATGATAATGTGGCTCTGGTAGCTAAATGGGTTGATAATAATGTTAAACCTAACATTTCTTTCTTTGATATGTTTGCCATGACAAAGTCATATGGAAATATAAGTTTATTATGCTGTCACCAAGCAACCAAATCAAACTAATTCAACCAGAGATTATGTGACCCCCCCACTACTATGCCAAACTGTCAGTTGCAGGAATATTTAGGTTTCATCACTTTTGGATATTAGCAACTAAGTAGGCACTTGATAGACAACGCCACAACATACCAACGTAACCTTTTTGATTATACCAATGAATTCATCTACATCTATGACGTGTATGAAAAGATGTATATGAATGGCTGTATAGCTTTAACCTTTCATGTTAGTAAGTCTAACTCTGAAGGCAAATTAAATCTAATTATATTTGGGGGAGCACTGCAGAAACCTTTTTTGTACAAAAGAAAAAAATTGTATCTGGTTTCACCGTCTGATCCTGTACTTTTTGGAAAGAGCAGAAGGGAAAAGTCTGCCTCTCTCGAGAATTAATTAAAAATCTGCGCAGCCAGTGATTGGCAATATTTCATGTTTGATCATTTAATTTAAAGGAGGGCTTGACAGCTGAACATGTGAGAACTGCTATAACAAATAGACTGGTTTCTCTTTTAATGGAGAGAAAAGAGCTCTATCAATTATGCACATCGATCACATCCATGATTTCGGTCCTGGAACTAATCTGAGGCAAATCTTTTTTTGCAAATGAGTAACGTTAACTTTCATCCCTACTAGGGGGGGGGTCTCATCGAGCATGTTAATTTAAATTTTTGAAAGCGCTGAAATGCAAGATTGTCTGTGACAGTGGTAAATGGGACAATTTTACCCCCAACGAGGGTAAAAGTAGAAACTATGTTACTAATATAAAGGCCATACATCACAGTCATAGTCTTGGTAGTCTGCTTAGGTTCTGCTTAGTTTACAGCGTAGATCCAAACACCCACCTCCGCAGCTCTACAGGAAGACTGCTGTGATTTATTCACCTCTTCTCCCATCGGCAGGAGGATCAGCAGGCTCTCTGCTGGAGACGTGGAACAAGACCTGGATCAAATAATTGTCCAGTTTGTTCTCATCTACTGGAACACTTGATCTGTGGAGAAAAGCACGCTTTCTGCACTGTATTCATCAATGCTATTTCCTCTGACTCATTCTGTTCAAAGCTATAGTTAAACTTTCATTTGGTAAATAAGATTGTAGTTACAAAATGTATGTTAACCTACTTTATAAAATACTCGTTTTGGATTTTTTCCGTTATCCGCAACATTAAAATGTTGTTCAGACACTAATGCAACCGTAACATAATACATGGCGTAATGGTGCAGATATGTGGTGTTGATATATGCCCTTGATAGTGTTAATATTTTGCACTTTGGGTGAAAAAAATGGTTCATTATCAGAAAATATAACGTATTATATGTTCACACAGTTTCACGCAAGTGATAATACAAGTGGGCATGTCATCAATGTGTTGTTATACTTGATGTTGAATGTCTAGCATGATCCAATCCGTACAAAAATCACGTCCTAGCTTACAAGTTCACTGTTAACCTTCGCCTTTTCTGGAAAATCATTGCGCGTTGAATCGAATACTTTTTTCCCCATCGGTTTGGTTGGTGACAATATCTCGCAGCTGGTCGACACATCGGTGTTTAATAATTTAGCTTTCGCTGTACAAGTAACCTTGTTATTATATGTTTCAAAAGATTACCACTTGACCGGTTGCATTCATGGTGACCACAGTTTACGTTACCTTACTACTCTGCTAAACTACGAGCAAAAGAGGGCGATAGTGCTTGGAAAACAAGCCTGACAGGTGAAAATGTGACGACTTTGAGCCTTTGTGTGTTGTTCTTTCTCACAGTCACAGTACTCAACAAAATCCCGTAAATCCCACATTCTGTACAGGGAGCCCTTATATGAACAAGCATGTTTTTCCCATAATACTTGCTACCGTTTTGCATGTAATGAAATAATTTTAATACAGTACTGAATATGTTTGACCTTGTGACCCATACATTTGTATTACCATTACAGAAATGACACGATTGTTGGTGATTATGGTCAATTCCTATTTGCACAAATATTGCTGAGAGAACAGACATAATCACACTAGTATCAGAATGTTTTTCATGGGTCAAAAACATCAATGTAGATTCCCTATGAAGTAAAGCAGAGGTGGTGGTTTCCTATACTGCATTACTGTGAGCTCAGCTGGATGGAACAGTCCAACCACACCGAGTCCATATAAGGCTTTGACCACTAAACTAATGAGGCTCTGCTGCTGAGTGTCGTTGGTGATTCTATATAGTCTGACAAAAAAAACATATACATATAAACCAACGTTACACTGTGTGACATTAACACGCATGAACCATATCGTTTAATAGGGCATTACTCGCACCAATCGCATTACTAGAATCTGCCCCAATCAACGTGATACTCGTGACATCATTGCCACCAACCACGCAATTGTGCGTGGTGCCTGTATTTCCTGCTCTAAGAAAGCTATTTTTGAACAGGAATGCACCAACGTGCTTGAGACTCTGACGGAGAAGACGGTATAAGTAGCGGCAGAGCCCGAGAGCTTTAAGCGCGTTCATGTCCCTTTCAGAACAGCGTGTCGATGCGCAATTGCGCATCCAGGAAACCGTAGAGTAGTCACACCATAGACAAGAAGGGGGTCTGAAGTCTACCGCAGTGCCTGACGGGAGAAAAAAGCATCCTGTGGTGACCCTTTTCCCATGAAAATGTATTTATAATGTTCTCATAATGACCAGGTGAGCATTGCGTCTCCATGAATTCGCCGCGACTTCATCTTGGAAGATACTGGAGGTTATTCGCTTATTGACATTTGGAGACATTAAGCATGCCCACGTTTTGGACTCACGCACGCTGGGGCAACAACTCACGATGACAGTAAGAATCAGGACGGATGCACTTAACAAAAGTCAGGATATCTCCGGGGACGCGCCATGGACGCATTGGACATAATAGCTTCCGTTATAGTTTTGGGGATTATCGTCGTGTCGTTGCTGTCCAACGTTGTGGTGCTGATCTGCTTTCTCTACAATCCGGAGATCCGCAAACAGGTACCCGGTCTTTTCATTCTCAACCTGACGTTTTGCAACCTGTTGCTGAGTGTGTCGAACATGCCACTCACCCTGGTCGGCCTCGTCACCGCGGGCTACCCCGAAGGCAGCGGCTTCTGCCAATTCGTGGGATTCCTCGACACTTTTGTCACCACCAACTCCATGCTGAGCATGGCGGCTCTCAGCATCGACAGATGGGTGGCGGTGGTATTCCCCCTGAACTACCACTCGAGAATACGGCACCGGGACGCGGTGGCGGCGCTGGCCTACACGTGGATCCACTCGCTTTGCTTCTCGACGGTGGCCACCTGCCGCTCCTGGGTCGGGTACCATCGCCTTTACGCATCGTGCACCCTCTGCAACGTCCGGGCCAAGGGAGGCGGGACGCAGTTCATCGTTTTCACGGTGGCCCTGCACTCTCTCACATTCCTTCTCACGCTGATCGTGTTGTGTGTGACGTACCTGAAAGTGCTGAAAGTGGCAAGATTCCACTGTAGACGGATCGACGTGATCACCATGCAGACGTTGGTGCTGCTCGTGGATTTTCACCCCAGGTAAACAATCCATTCCATTCCTATCGTCTCCCTTTTTGTCCAACATCTATAGCATTTCGGAATGTTAATACATTCGATGAAAACTGTTTATCATACCAAGATGGAGGATGGGTGGTTTACTCTCAATTGTCTTGCAAAAAGTGCTGACTTTTTAAATAATGTGCAGAAGAAATGATCAAATTATTCATCAAAAACATTGACGGGATTTGCTGCTTTAATCATTTTTTTGGACAGTTGGTCCACAACTTCAGCAATTTGGAAACGTCTCCCTGGATGCAATGATTGTACTTTCTCCTTTTTTAACACATTTATATATATTATTATTTATAGCTGGAGAAGATGTTGGTTACAGTAGTCATTTGCGTTTCTTTAAAGTCCCAAAAAAATACTTTAAAACTATTTAACCACACAAGTAATATATAATTCATAAGTGATTGGCTGATTTACATTTTAAATAGACCAATTTGCATAATAGATGCACAGTATAATGCTTTCTTCTCGACTGTCCCACGTTTTCTCCGCGGACTGCTTCGTTGTGGCTGCGCGTCTCTGATCATACCTCCTGGGTAGATAATGGTGTCTGTGTGCTTTGGCAGTGTGCGGCAGAAATGCTTGGATGAGCAGAAGCGGAGGCGGCAGAGAGCCACCAAAAAGATCAGCACTTTCATCGGCACATTTGTTGTGTGCTTCACCCCATATGTCATTACGAGGTGAGCAGTTGTATTAGATCGCAGTGGGGGTGCATGTCAATGGAAAGGTATCTAACATAATTTATATCCATCTGAATCCCAACATTGAAAAGAAATGCTTCACATAAAGGATGTTAAACTAAAGCGTTTGCCTATGATCATTAAAATTGAATAATCATCCTCGTATAATTACAACTTTCCCAGGACTTTCCTTCCCTTGTGCCGCCAGTGTGCATTACTTTTCAAAACGTTTGAATACAGGTGGTCGAGAATAATTTTCAATGCTGTCTTGTCATCTGGTTACATTTTAACCGCCTCCTTTTCATAATGCCTCAGCTCATTGGTTCTACACTCATTTCTCATCCTCGTCACTGTGTTTCCACGTGCAGCTTGGAAGACGAGAGTAGGAGAGACAGAAGAAGAGGGCGATAGATGATAAATCAGTGACGCTCATTACTATTAGCCCCAGTAACACGTGTCAAAAGCTGTTAATATTGTTGTGTAGAAATAGAACCAAAGCGCGTTAGGGACAGTGTGGTGAGACAAATTTGACTTAAAGAGAACAGAGCAATTAGTAAGACAGATTGAAGACAAAACAATGCCCCTGCTGTATTTCACTTTGTCTTTAATTTCCTTAATTAGGACAAAGAAGTATGAGGCAATGGGTTTGTTGCAAAATGATTTTTACCACCAAGAAGTCTGGAAGCGGCAAAACGGACCCCTATCAATTCATATTCCCCAACACAGTGGTGACATTTCAATAACGTCAAATTATGACATTTTGGGGGGCATTTTGCTTTCCATGCTTTCCACTCCACTTACACTGATCTCAAAAACGGTCTTTTGTCTTGCTCGTGAGCGGCGTGTAACCTTTTTCTTTTTTATTTATCTGAGGTAGAATTGTGGAGCTCTTCTCCTCGGCGCCCATAAGCCCTCACTGGGGAGTGCTGTCCAAATGTTTGGCCTACAGCAAGGCAGCAAGCGACCCGTTCGTCTACTCGCTGCTGCGTCACCAGTACAGGAGGACCTGCAACCTTCTGGCCAACAAAGTCCTCAAGAGGAGTCCGCTCAACTCCTCCTCCCTCAGGATGGAGAACTGCGGCGCGAGGAGCGCCAACAACTCGAACTCAACCAACAACACCCAGCAGTAGATCGACCGCTGCAGTGACGGTGCAACATCACAGGGAACTGTTAACGTGATTATTGTTGAAGCAAGAGGCCGGCTATATTCTCTACTTTTCACATTATCCTATGAAAAGTCTCAAGACAGCTAGACGGCTTTGGGGTCTTGACTGTGGCACCCCGAGACGTTGCCTTAGGTCACAAATAAATTCATAAGGCCAAAAAATTTTCTCAGCCGGTTCATCGCTGCAAGTGTCTTTGCAGATCTTGGAACATCATGAATGATGGAGGTGTAAGGCGCAGTGGAATAACCTGTATACAACTTTAGCTACACAGGAAATAATAATCAGTAGGATCTATTCTTCTTAAAAAATATAGGATACTCTTTAACGACTGATAGACCAACCCCCTTTTGTAGGTTGTGTGTGTCGATTGTAGTTTTTCAATACAAATATAATACCGTCTTTTTCTGCATAGAGTGAACGAGTTTATTCGGTAGCATGAACAGCATTGTAGCTCCACCTCTAAAATTACAGACGGAGCCGGTTAACCAGACAGAGACAACAACACAAAATCTACATTATTAACATTGTCCAATGCTTTTAAATGTTCGGATGAATCAGTCCAATGTATTACCTCAAGTCAGTATAGTTGTACATCCAATTAAAAAAATGATTTAAATCCACCTGAAGTGTTTGGCAGAGTTCCTAAATTCAAGCTCACCCTCTGACCTCAATGATGATTCTCAGGCCGGATGAACGTAGTATATATGTTGCGTGGATAATTTTGACTGTACAGATGATTCTTAAATGATTATATGTTGTAGCTGTGAGTTCTGAAGTGCCTTTTAGACGATGAACTCGCCGATTCGATCCAAACATAACCTTCACATTCGGCCATTTTCTGGGAATTCTGTGATGTGGTTTAATCTGATGATGGAGCCAATGATGCAGTTTGGTCCCATTGTAAGAAAGTTTTAAGGGACGTTAATTCTTTTAATACATTGTATTGTTGTATTGAGCAGAACAGGGTGAAATATTATTTGAATGTGGTAGCAGCTATTCTATGATGTGTAATTACATTTTAGCACATAACGTTTGAGCGGTTATGTGACATCAGGTTGTAAAATGTTTGTTTTTTTGTTGACAAGGCTGGCAAATCAGGATGTTGTGTTTTTACTTTACTGTGACAGTATAAAGACGTAAAAGGCTTAAAAAAGATTTATTTTTGTCAAAACTGTGTCGGGTTTTTGTTAAATATATTTGTGACTAGATTGCAATAAATGCTGTGCATTTTGACATTTTAAAACCCTCACACGTTTCCGCTTACTCATTTATTAATGTCTGTACTCATTGTTATATGACCTGCATAGAAATCTGAACTCATTTTTAACGCCTCACCAAAAGACCAATCTTAACACCTTTTATTCTCCCACGCTGATTAAGTCAAGGGAAAAGAATAATTCATTTGAAAAATGATTTAAGATGTGTTCCACCCACCACTGCTGCTGTTAACCGTGGCAGCAGAACAAAGACTTTTAACAAAAGTATCGGGGCTGAGAGTTTTAATCCTTTTAATTGCAGAGCTAGTATATGTAGTGGGAAAAGAAGAAAAGAAAAAGAGAGGACAGTGGGCATTTTCTCACAACGTCCACGCAGCTGTGACAGTGCTAAATATTACGTGGAATTTGCATCCTCCATCCACCTTCATGAACAAAATATGAATCATCTATCGTTCAAAGACTCTTGTTAACCTCTTTATTAACAAACGCCTGTAAACAAAATCTCCATTAAAATTACGAGACAATCACATTATTGTGTTCACTAGTGCCCCCCAATCTAGGGGAATTTCTGTTGAGTATCCCAAAAGTTTGGAAGGATCCCCGGTCTCTAATCTCCTTGGGGGAGTCAGTGAGTGGGTGGGAGGCAGACGGCAACCTGCCGTACACGCATCGCTGTGCACGGACCTTGTAATTAAGCTCCCGGCATATTATACGAAGCAGAGGAGGAAGGCTGCGAAGACGAGTGCACTGGCTGACTTCACACGATTCCCATTGTGAGCGGTTCCAACTCATTAAGGAAGGCAGCTGGGTAAATTCCAGCCACACTTGATTGACAAAAGCATCCTGGCTTGAACGTTAACATGTGATCTCAAGGAATTTGGAAAGCATGTGCATGATAACCTTTCTATGTAATGAGAATTTAGAGAACAGAAGAAAAAACACAAGATTTTAGAAAACAGATGTCATATTGTGCCGAAAATCCCGAGTAACTTGAGTCACCCTGGAACAGCAGTTTGGCTTAATCAGCTGCAGCAACACTGAACTGAATGAGCGTTAAATCATCCAGAAGTCACTGAGAAAACTTAACGGATGTATATTTATTTCTTTATGCTAGCAAAAGAGAATACAAGGCGGAACACAGGTTGCTCCCTCGGGTTGGCGTTAATCATTCTTTAACAGGCACGTCGGCTTATTGTCAATCATCACCAATCAATTGATCACTGCAGACAAAACAGGAATTGATCATATATATTGTAGATCCATTATTGTCTTCCTTTATTCTCGCTCTACGCCTCTGACAGGCTTTTCCATAGCTCTGGAGCTACCAGACTGGCTGCATTCATTTAACGTGAGTCATGGGAAGGTTGGTCCCAGGAGTCCCAGTATTCCCCATTACTCGAGCAAACAGCCTGCAGTGCTCACAGGACAAATAATAAAAGACCATCTATTTCTGTCCGGGAATGCTTTACTTGTTTTTGCTGTGGGTTGAGAAAAATGTCTCAAATCCATTTGGAGCCTGGTTTAAAAAGTGTTGTGGTGTTCAAGTGACAACTGTCATATTTTTATAGCGTTTTGACGACATGAACTTATCCTTTCCTTCGATTTTGTCTTATATTTTCTCATACGCACCAAGTGGGCCAATTCAAATAGAAGATGATGCCGCTCAGCAGAAGCCATGAAGATCGTCAAAACCTGATTGAGGTGTGATCGTCCATAGGAGCAAGGTGTGCTCCTAATGAAGCTCTGTGCATCAACTTGCATCCATTCAATACTTATGTCAACCTGCTAACAACACAAGACGATGGATCACCAGAGTAATTAGGATTCAACCTCTAGGTACAAAGACCATCTGCAGCAGATTAATTGGCTATCCACTCAATAGTTATTGATATGAATCACAAACTCAAATGTCCTCCGAATTGTGGTTCTCCAATTGAAGTCAGTAGAATTTTCCCTCTGACACTGACACCCAAATAGCCACACAGCTAAAAAAAACATATTCATATCATTATTTCGTAGGAAATGCAGCATAATGAAGAGTTGGCATAGTTTACTTCTTTAACTAAATATTGGTTGCTTGGACAAAAGCATCTGCAAAGTCTTGATTTTTACAGATATTTCATTGAAAGAAAGACACTTGTATTAGACACACACGTTTAACATTTAAATAAAATAAAAACATTCCTGAGCTCCATTCAAGCACCAATAAAAATGTGCTGGATTTGTCTTCTGCAATAAGAAAATAATGGCCTGGGAGCACTCTGCATATTCCAGACACCTAGTAGGTGCACACGTGGGTTAAAATATGTATAACAAAATTATATTTTGCTTCAATATACGGATCAGTAAATTATGATGAAGGGGAAAAGGTGTACAAAAACAATTATTCCCTACATGGATACTTTACTTTCAAAAACCACACAAAAACACAAACCTTCTCCTGCAGCTGCATCATATCTTCGAATTGATGCACAAGTCTCGAGTCCCATACACAGCCATTTAATGCTGCATCAAACAACAGCAGAACTCCAGACGAGGGAAAGGAACACTGTGCATAAAAATAGATAAGACAGCACAAAAATGCTCCATGAGCTGTCATATCTTTCCTAATTAAAATTCAAGACAAGACAGCCAACAAGGTGTAACCACATAGCCTTAATTTGCATGTCAATGAAAAGTGAATCGACATGCAGGCGATGCTTTCTAGGAGAATGATGAATGTGTTTTTAAGAATACTCAGGAGGATTCGATGGCCTCATAAACTGAGCCGCATGTGGCCGGAGTTAGATTTTGACTTGTATGTGTACTTGTATGTAATGTGACATGTAGATTGAGTTCCCGGACTGGTTTGTGTAGCAGAAAGACAAACACAGAGGGAGGGATTAGCGCATCATAGATTAGAATGTGGTAAAATAAATGTTAAATAATGCCCTAATTTCCTTGTTAAAAAAAAAAACATCTGTTGGTTTTTCAATGGCTTCGTTGTGATCTAAAGCCACTACCACACGTTGTATTAGATAGATGTGCTGAGGAACGCGGGCTGCATCTGAACTCCTTGTCCAATCAAAATGATACAAAGCTGCGAGACACAAATGCTGTCTTGTCTGCATGTGTCCAGTTAGCATGCTGCCCATGTTTACCAGTGCTGCCCAGTACACAAGGGACATATTCAGACAGACGCCTTCTACTTCATTGATGGAGCGCTGCACGCAGACTGCTAGCTTACTGAAATCCCATCAACTAAACCCCAGGCTGTTTCGATTACATTCAAATCACATTTTTTTTTGCCCGACATCCATATGGCGTTTTAAAGTATATAACAATAATTGGAGTAATTACTGCTACAGTGAAACTTGAAACATGTTATCATTCTATGTAAACTATGTCCCAGCTTTGATCCAACCCCAGTCGCTTTACATCCACACAGTCGCACCTTTTGCTATTTGGCATTTTGCAATAGAACCTTTTGATGACCTCAGGCTGATGTTATGAAATGCATTTGACAGGTGATGCCACCTTTTCCATTGGGCTGCTGTCAGCTGTAGTGATAGCTGTGTGTGATAAAAAAAAACATGTGCCAAAAAGGCCCAGTGTGACATGATGTACCATTAGCAATCCCATCAGACGATAATTGAGAAGAGGGGCACAAAGACAATCGATCCTTTTTTAAAAGGTGGATGTGTTCATAGGTAAAAGCAGAAGCAACTCAGCAAACTCAGGTTTTTTAAAATTATTTTTAACAGATAGCATTCACAGTTCCATGCCTTGCAAGAAAATAAAGCCATGTCATTTGAGGCATTCCATAGCTAGCAGAGGTTATGTGAAGCCTCCTGCCAGATGTGCAACAATAAGTTGTAAACGTCTTAAAAAATGACCATGTGAATATGAAAATGGGAAGGGTGAGTGTGACATTGTAATACAACAGGATGAGGCTCAGTAACCATATATGTCTAATTCAAGGACCCTTCCACTCAGTCAATGCCGCCAACCACGGAGGAAACCTGAAAAGGAAATCTACGGAGGAGCCAGTAGGGGAAAAAAAAGGGATTGAGAATCTATCAAAAGGACAGAGAACAAAACAGATCCACGCAATTATATTTCAGCCAGCTAAGAACCATGGCTCAGGGGAAAATCCATCACGTCATTTTCATTAGGAGAGACCTCAGCAGTTAAAAGATCGGACACAATGGAGAACTGGGGCAAGACATGAGGGGGGAATAGCCGCTCTCAGAAAAGGTCAAATGAACGTCACAGGCTCGCGTCGTGTCAAAAGAAGAATTACAGCCAAGTGAAAACACTTGAGGGCAATAATGAAAGGGAGACCTGGAATTGCAGATTAGTTTAGTGTAAAATAATAGTACAGGCAAACCAAGTGTTTGAATTATCCATCGAGAAAGAGAGATGATCCAATGAGAAAGAAGGGCGCCTCCTAATGTGGGAAAGGAGGCTGTTTGCAATCTTTTGCGACGACATGCGGTGACACTTGCGATGACTTCTCTGCAGCTTCCCAGAAGAAAGATGCATTCGACGTGAAGTTCTCATGTTCTCCGGTGTCCTGTGAGTGCTCCAGTTTCCTCCCACGCTCTGTGCACGCAGCTCAGGTTACCTGGAACCCGTAGGTGTGATTGCTTTGTCTGCGTGCGTCAGTCTCACAGGGCTGCCGAAGCTGTTCGGATTAAACGCCGCCTCTCGCCCAGTGTGAAAATGGGATAAACTCCATGGTGAATACAAGCGCACGTAATCCTGGATAACTGTAGGCTGTTTTTAGTGCATCAGATCATTTTATACACATTAAGCCATGCATGGCTTTATAGATGAGTTTCTTCCAAAATATCTCACATATCAGCTTCAGCTGTGCTCTGAGTTTAGTACCAATGAGCAAATGTTAGCACACGCCTGCACGCCAAGCTAAGACGGTGAATGTGGTGCACCTTCTATTTGCAAATCGGACAAAGTGCAAACTAGTGGAAATGTTAAGCTATGGAGTGCTAATGGTTTGTGTTTGTGTGTGTGTTCAACTGTGCAAACTCTCTGGATCAGGCTCAAATAAATATATAAATAACACACAGAGAGCATTTACTCAATTACAACATCGCCACTGACAGCAGCGAGCATCCATTAGCAGGCGCGTGTACATTCGCGTGCCTTCGAGGGAAGGACGAGGAATAACATGTCTGCTATGACATTAAACCTGTGAGAGAGAAGACATCCTCTCCCGCTGTGATCTACGAAGGCTCCGTGTTCATTTCCTCCTGCTACATCGCTCCCTAATAGAGACCCAGAGCAGTAATCTGCGCTACTATGCAAGATCCAAGCTGATCTGAGGTACTTGTTAACCACCAAAGAAGAAAAAGACAACATTGTGCAAGTATTGTGTTGCTGTGTGAGCTTTTTTTTTTTTTTTTTAATAAGGTATTCTTGAATATCCTGCAGTTAATAATAGTGAACATAAAATGTGATTATTATTTCATAACCCAGCCATTACCAAAAATCAAAATGGAAATGTAAAAATAGGAGAACAAAATAGATTAATAATTGGTACGAATCTGAGTCATCATTTTTCACATCCCATCACCAAAGCGACTATTATTGCATTTTACATGGGAAATGTGTCCTATTAGGGGCAACTGAGTGGAGTTAATCAGAAATACATCAGATGACAGATGCTCAGTGATCTTGACTTTTTTTGCTGAGTTGCTATGGTTTCAGGACCATGCAACCTTTTGGAAACATGGAGTGTGTCTGTTTCCATTTAATTTAGCACAAGCTTGAGAAAAGCAATACATTTAACTTACATTTTAAAGTAAATATTAGATTCTAAAACCGTTTCTTTATAGCAAGGTGAGGATACTTGGTGTCATTAATCATGTGCCATTTGGTTTAAATAGAACGTTCTCTGCGTCTGTTTTTGTCATTAAGGTGTCATTCAAATGACGTTTGCAAAGGATTTCAAGGACTTTGTGCGCAACTTCATGCATGCGCATCATGGATACATATCAGTGGGCCATGTTGTTTTCCTGCTCGGTTACCCGGTTACCTTTATTATTATTTATTATTATTATTATTAGTTCCCCAAAAACTGTGGACTACTTTTTGGTGTCACGGTAGGACTGATTATGTCCTAATAATGGACTATTTCGTATCACTATTTAGCACCATGACAAAGGCAAATGTCTGACACCTTGTTATAGAACAATAACACATGCCTCATCCACCTTTAATTAAATCCTCCAGAGGCAAACGCTTATGTGATCTTGTGAACGTCATAATATCATCAGCATTGCTTCTGTGAAATTATTTTTAAGGCTGCTGGAAAAATGCTTATTCATAAACTTCTCAATTCAGTTTTAAAGAGTTTCATCAACAGGAAAAGCTCAAGTTGAAAAATGAACGGTTAATCACATGTTAAAACAATGCTACGCAACGTGATTTTTTCACGTTTGGTTAAATCTTCATCAGTCTTCATTTTGACTTATTTGAATAAAAACAGGTACAAATGGAGTTGTTAGAATTAACATAACCCATGGGGGAGGATTCCAACATTTTAATGCGTATGGGATTGAGGGTTTTTATGGAAACATTTAAAACACCTTCATTTGACCTAAAGGTTTAAAAAAAAAAACATGGTGTATTTTAAGATTTTACTTAATTACGTAAACATAGTTTAAATGAGATAATGGAAAAAGTAGAGGGAGAATACAGTGAGGAAACGTCTTTCTTCCGGACTATTTAGAACATTTTAATTCAAGAGGTGTAGACACTCGTGGTCTTTGCACATTGTGCGCCATACAGAGGAGCATGTGTGTATTTCTTTGTTACAAAAAGGTACCCGAGTCCCAGCAGTGGGCCTCTCTATTGTCCATCAAACGAGAATGAGTTTCCTTTCACTGAAATTGAAGTCACAGCAGAGTTCAACCATGACTGATTCCCGCTGCGCCGCGCCCGGCGGTACCCAGAGATTTATCTCATTCTTTTACTCAGGTTTCTCTCCGCCAGCGTGAAAGTGAACATGCCGCTTTTAGATGCAGCCGGCTGTTTTTGCTGCTGATGGGCGGCCATGAGGACACGCTGCCAACGCACACAGTCAGGACATGTGGCCGACTCAACATGGGGTCAGGTGTGTGGGCTCCGTGTAAGTTCGTAACTCTTACAACACAATGACATCACCCAAAGTGACCTTCTCATTTCTGATTCACCCCTTTCAACTGAGGGCCCTTCGTGCCGTTTGTTGGCATCTAACACACATTGTGTTCTTATCGATCGTTTTCATTGAGGTCATGTAATGTTTACGCTGAGACACATTTTCCTTTGTTTTCAATAGCACATCTCCATCAAAGAAAAGGTCAGAATTTAATACAAACAGCATCTCTAATTTACTCCTACAACAAATCAGCACCTTAACGTGGTGGAGGGGTTCGTGGGTCCCGGTGACCTCAGCAGCAGTGTTGTTGATCGGTACCAACTGCGTATAGTTGGGATCTTCTCCATGGCTATTTCTGGAACTAAACTGCTGGTGACGCGCTGGAATCCAGGCTGTTCTGAAGTGGCCGAGGGCGAGAGGACCTCAGCTACTCACGCATGTTCATATTCCTAACCTCACAAACTAAATCAGAAAGATGCATTTCAACCGTACGGAGGAACTATTCCCGGAAAATGAAGCCATGTCATTTTAGGCATTCCATAGCTAGCAGAGGTTATTTGATGTGCAACAATAAGTTGTAAACGTCATTATTAAAAAATGACCATGTGAATCTGAAAATGTTGGTGGCAACACAATGATGAGAATAATTCCGGATTTGGTGCGTCCGTCTGATTGGAGTAGAGATGGACCGTCATATAATTGGATTCATTAGGATGAGTATCATCTGAATCATAGTGCCAGATGTCTGCAATTTGTTGTTCTCAGTACAGCTGAGAATTAAATCCCACATGCTTGATACAGGATGCTCAGTGCGCCTGCGTCCAACTACCTTTTTTTTGCACCATTTCCCATATGGCTGTTTTTAATCACTTTCTACGTCAATATCATTGTCATCAAGGTCCTTTTTCTCCTGCTGACCAAAGACAAGCCTTGATTCTGTACCAACCACAGTGGACTTTTAAAACTTTGTTAATTATGTATTAACATTATTTTCACTGAAGAATCAACCATTAGAGGAAAGTGAAGAACACAAACCAAACCGAAGGAGCTTTGAGGTGCAAAAGGTGAATGTACCACAGTTCCTACTAACAGATCTGTACAAAACATGTTCTCTATGAAGCGCAGACGTTGGTCGTCGGAATGGAAAAGTCTGCTGATAAGTGGGCTGTTTTTTACGCGCTGATGTAATCGTGAAGGGTGAACTTTGGAAACCATGACAACTCCAAAGTTTGGACCATTGGTAAAAGCACTTATGCTTTTACCCAATTTATAAAGCTTTTTACAAAGATTGTTTTCTTGTTGTTACTATTACCATTCGCTGCTCTGATGAAACCCAAAGACCAGCCAGATTTGACAAAACTTCACTCTTACTTTGATAGTCTCTCCTCCATGAACATGATGTTGAAACCGGAACACTGGGTGTGGAGACGAATGATGGGTGTTAAATTGACCCTCACTTCATTCTAGCTCCAGAAAATACATCCACACACACAATCCAACATGTTATGTCACAATGGAGGGATGCCTTCTACCCTCGACAACCCTGTAGAGCACATACTGTATGTGGCCATATGTCGCCGCCGGAGTCTGGATGACTTTTCTACTGTGAGAATTACAGAACGGTGCTCAAGTCTCTTCTCCACACAGATCATAGATGAAACAAACTGAAATGTCTTGTTTACACCTAGTTTTTGACGCTGTTTATCACATGACGCCACTTGTTGCCGTCTCGATGAACCAACACCAATAACCATACCTAATTATATACATATAAATAAACAAAAAAAAAACGGTTTACAGATAAATCTAAGTATATATCACCCAGCAGTCCTTCCTGCTAAGTTTTTTTTTATCCATTTTTTATCATGTGCTATTTATACACATTGGGCTTTAATACTGTACATGAAATTAAAAAATAACCTTAAACAGCAATGGCTGTTTTGTTATGCATTATCTCACTGCTGGTCTGTGGAGTGCAGTGTTTGGATATAAAGCGACTGCTATATTGTGTTTTAGTGCCCTCTTGTGACTAAACCCAAAACATTTACTTGATGGTTTATTAGGTCAGTGTGGCCAAATAGTTCTGAACACTTCAACTGCTGGTATTGAAATATCTTATATGTGTAGAATATAAAACCCAAATTCTGCTTAATTTTCTTACTATGATTTTGACTCGATGAGTCGGTCATATTTGTTCATGAGCGCACAAATATCAACAACAAATCCCGTACTTAGTCAGACCTTCATACGACCCCGTGTAATTATACACCGGTTTGTGTATTCTCCCACTGTACATTTATTTCTATTTGCTCTGTTTTTTTCATTCATTCACATTCTCGTGCAGGCTAGCGGCCCATCGGGTGTTGCTCCAGTGGAAGTCTTTGTTGTGCAACACGCTGGCCAGTTTATGGTTGAAGGGTTGGTAAAATTCCCAGAGGAGCTCACTGGTGGCTGGAAGCATACGTCCCAGGATCCTGTCTGCCCTCCGCCGGGTGTTGGATTTGGGCCGTTTGTACAACGCTGCCTCCCTTTGCTCCGAAAGAGGACCTGCAGTGAGGACGTTAGACGCTTTGACTATAAATAACTGAAGGCTTGAGGCAGAGAAAAAAAAGTGTTTTTGAATACGTACTTAATGCGAGGAAATCAAAAACTTTATTGATGGTCATCTGGAGGTTGGCCGCGTAGTCCTCGAGGCGAAGAACTAGAATCTGCTCACTATGGAAAACGGTCAGCCAGTCCAGCAAGAAGACAACGTACATCCCCAAATTTAGCCTCACCTGTGGAGAGAAAAAAAGCCAGCATCATAAATCTGTGTTGACAAGAACGGCTGTTTACAAGGTTAACTACTAATTAAACATGAACAGCAAGTCCTCAAAGTGTCCTGCAGCGAGAGAAAGCAGCAGACGCAATGCTGGACGACAAAATTATGTTACCGTACATAGAAATTGTCATAGAAATGATTCATTCTGTCGCATCTTTCATTATGATGAACATGAGCAGTGTAGATTATTTGGAGTGGAGGAATGCATGGTCCTTGGTTTCCCAATAAATGTACTATTATTGCTTTTTCAGTTTCCAGTAATAATAAATGAAACATATAATTCTGATATGATGGCTGTTTAAGAGTGCAGATGACAGCAAAGAACGTTGAGGGTTTAAAGAGTTTAAAACAAACTAAAAGGATAAATAACGGACATGTTGGACCATAGGGTCACCAAATACTTGTACTGTAATGCACACCCACAGCAAAACTTGCATTAATCATTTTTGTATCTTTTTTACATTCTGATAAACTCATGAAGTGCACTTTTAATTCCTGTTTATTTAATGGAGTCCAGTGTGAGATGCAGTGACACTCTGATTCCTCAAGAGGGCAGCACATCCTATCAACCGGCTGTCCAAGGACGCTCAAGAAGCGCCACAAACAGATAACTTGTGTTAACAAAAAAATGTTGGTGCTTCGAAAAGGTTTTTGTTTGGAATCGAGATGAATTTGAGTTTCTGTTCCGTTGGTTTAAGGCCGATCTGATTGCAGCTCATCTTATTCCTCAATGGGCGCTGCCTGAATGAATCATCTGAAGCGACTGTTCAGCTAGCTGGTTGTAGATTTTTCTTCACACAGAGTCAGTGTCCAAGTATGTTTGATTAAATGAAGTCATCATCTGTAAACTGAGCTGACCGGCATTGCGTTGGAGAGGCTGGTGTTGTAGGCGCAGGATCGCAGTGACCTCTCAGAGAGGCAGGACTGAAACAGCTGCACGGACTCTACGACTTTCTGATGGAAGTCCTCAGTTGACTTGTTGGCCATCTTGAAGTACAAGTAGTCAGAGTAGAGTCTGTGGACGGATATAAACACAGTTGTTAGACTGTTGGAACGACAAAAGCACAAAGAATGACGAAAAATTATAATAATAATAATTTAAAACAGACATGGTCTCCAGGAAAATTGTTTTGAAGCAATACAAACTGAAAAAACGCTTCTGCAAGGCAGGCTTGTGGATGCTTTCCCCCCACGGTACCTCTCCACTGGATCTCTAAGCATGATGATGATTTTGGCGCCGGGCTGGACTGTGTGGATGACGTCCTGGGCCAGGAAGGGGGGCTCGGGCTCCTCTTTGTGGAGGTAGCTCCAGGCCTGGTTGTCCCACATAGTCGATGCACTGGCTTCACCTGGGAAGGCATCGACAGTCTGAGTATCGCCTTGGGTAGCAACAGTTGCACATTGTTTCCTTTATGTGGAGACATTCGTTTCCTCCAAATATACACAGATTTTTTGATTTTTAACAAAAAGCCAAGAAACACATTTTCATAGAGGAAGAGTTACACAACCCAGATAATGTTAAGGTCAATGCTACCTTTGCCTGAAGATAAAATGTAGTTATTGTTTATTGGAGGGGTCTTGTACTGTCTCTCAGGGGCCTTAAGTTTGAGCAAAAGTCATTAAAAATCACAAAAGCATGGAAAAGGAATAAATACGTTTTTTTACAGCTTCCAGGGGCCTTTGAGGTTTTTCGCACATGTTTTAAAAAACCCATTTTGTTCTCTTAGACCACAGAGTATCTGAAATATGTGAGTGACACTTTGATGCTTCTGAGGTCGGATCCACTTGTGGAGAGTCCACTGGAAAAAAGCAAGGCCAGCCAACAAAGTAAAGGAAAACCGAAGGGATTTCATGGTCAGGATCCCATTTGGTCCTCAGAAAACACCAAATGAAACACATGAAAGGTGGCAGGACGGAATACCAAAAACTACCCACGCACTCGCACAAACACCCTCACATGTGTTCACCTGTTATGAGTGTGCGGTGGTCTCCAGATGAATTTCCACTGATTCCTTTTTCTATGTTGTGGGCTGCCAAGTCAAACAGATCCAGGTAGTCTTCCAGAGGAAAGTTTTCCTGGTAGCCATCTTTGAAACGGATATAACCTGCACTCAAACGAACACAAAATGACTTATAGACTTCTTCACCATCAGGATCAGACTTAAAAGCGCTATTTACCAGAGAAGAATCAAAGGTCTACGTGCACAAAACCAATTATTAATATTATTAATAAGACAGACACATAATACAACACAAGAATACAATAGTTCCACAAGGTAGTTTTATTTTAAGCATGCTTTGTCAGTTTGCAGGAAGGAAATGGGTTCATTCTTGTGATTTCTTGTGTGCAAACACACACATCCATCTCTTGATTACCCACCGAAGCGTTTCCTGGTCCACCAGTGCGGCTCCTTTATGGTGTTGAACTTGACCTCTGGATGCAGCCGCAGCCGGTAGAACAAGTCCGTCGTGCCGCACTTCGGTTGGCCGACGATGTAGAAGAAGGGCAAGCAGCGCAGACGAAACAGTTTCCCCCCTCGGGGGTGCAGGTGCTTGTGGAAGTCGGCCCTCAGCAGGCCGCACACGGCCTCGAAACTCTTTGTGCGCACAGCGTATTGGTTCCCCTTGTAGGGATCCGTGCCGAGCTCACCCGAGAACTCCTGGTACCAGCAGGGGCTCTTGACGCCGGGCAGAAAATGGCGAGGGATTGCAGAAAACAACTGCAGGGAAGAACGAAACAAAATCAGACAATACCGAGGGGGTGATGAACACAACGGAGATGCTGTGCTGTGCACGTTGGTCCTCGCCAATTACCGGGGTTCAACTTTGTGACTCTCTGTACTTTTGATTTATAGTGTTACTGCCAGAGTTCACCGATCCTGTTCACCGCAGATGAACTCTGCGAAATGATTCACGGTAACATAGAGAAATGGGATGAGAACGTAGAGCAAACAAAGGGGAATTACAGGACATTAGCAGAGACCAGCAGAGAGTAGGTGCAGAGCAACACTCAGCGAGCCGTGTAACCTGATATTACTGAACAGCCTTGCTGTTCTCCTGTCGGTCTGAACAAACACGGGTCGTTATGAGCTTTACAAAAGTGGAGTTCACTGCCGGGTTGGTGGTAAGGTGCATGTTATTTCTTGCTGTTGACTTGTGTCAACAAAAAAATAAAGCAATCATAGCGGCCGCTCGTTAACTATTTCCAGTCGGGTTGTTTATTCGTCCGTATGTTGTTAGAGTGAAATCATTACCATGTACCATTACAATTCCATTCTATATTTTAGTTGGCCCACTCAAGTACAGCAAAAAGGAGTCAGGCTCATTTTCCGAAGACTTACACGGGAGTTTGTTCCAATGACGTCCTTCTCCTCAGGCACCTTCCTGGGTGTGTATTCCAGTTTGGAGCCGATGATCTTCACCAGCAGTTTCATGTTTATTCGAACATTTTCCCACAAATCTTCAGCTGCTCCTGTGCTGTTCGGGACGGCCCCGGCTCTGACACGCTGATAGGGTGGGGAGGTGAGAAAGAGCCCCTTCCTGTCCCACGTCAGGATGTGGGAAGCCATGATGAGGAACATCAGAGTCAAGCCCATCAGGAAGCTGACCACTTTCCCCTTGGAGACGCTGCGCAGGTTAGTTACCCATAATCTGAAGTCAAACAATGTCCTTTCAGGCGTTTTCCCGCAGCTTGTGGACAACGGCAACCAGTGGCGGCTGTAAGTGTGCTCCTTGCTTCCGTGTTTGCGGTGTGGTAGTGACATACTGACGTAGAAGCAGTGTAGGCATGTGGACTACAAATAATGGTCAAGCGTCCGATCTGTTCATCATGGTTTTACGTCTCCATGTTGTCATTTGTCTTCATTTCTTACACGCTCCCCAGTCTTCAGCGAGGCCTCCTGTGAATGAGAAGCACTTGTTAAAACACAGCCTTCGTGAAGTGGTGCGGTTGCTTTTTTTTTTTTTAAAGTCATCTCCCATAATTCCAAGAAAGTGGTGTGACTGTTATTTAATATTAGGGTGTTTTAGGGAGCTTCCCCTCTGAAGCATCAGCGTGCGAATCCGTAACTATGCTCCCTTCTATTGCATGAATTACCTCCTAAAACTGCTGGAGGTCAGCTGCAGAGTGTGTGTGGTCTGCTGCATGCGATGAGGGCTGATTAGTACATGCAAAGACGAGCTTTACCAAGACGCTTCCAAGGTCAGAATAATAGTCGCTCTGTGATTAGCAACTAAAAACACACAATTATTCTTTTTGTTTTATTTTGCTAACCTGGAAATATCGCTTTCGAAGTCAAGGCCGAGGAAACCCCGGCGGGTATTGATTCAGGTGGACACGCAGTGTGGCAAGTGCACAGAAGTGCTATATATCTTTTGGACACTTGATTAGTGACGCATTTCTATTTAGTTAGCAGACGGTGTGAGATGTCACAATCTCACCATAACATGATACAACTCAACATTTCAACATCATTAAAATGTGCACATTCACAGTTTGAAGTTCAATTGTGGGAAAGTTCCTTTTTGCATTAAAAGTCGGGATATTTTGTTTTTTTTTATTGTCTCTTGTGAGTTAACCAAGTTTATAGAAGTGCCACTCTCATTTTTAGATTGTATATTCATGTCCTCTTTCTAAACAAACTGTGCTTGCTTGTGACCTTTGAGTGTAAATACGTTCTCTGCTCATACACATTGTGGCTTAGTCAAGCAAATTCGGCACGAGTGCGAACTTGACTTGAAACGTCAACAAGAAAGCCTTTTACACACTTGCAGATCTTGTAATCTGACATATCTGAGCCTTTGCAGACTTAATAGGAATGCATGGCAATATCTGCGGGCTTGTGCAGGACTGGGCAAAGAACTTTATTTAATTAAGAATCTGTTGACGGAGGTGGACTCTTTGAACTGCCAATGAGCACACCTCTAAATACAACTCTGTCATCTAGTTATTGAATGAGGTATCAGTGCATAATGCTGCTTACGATATTTTAAATACTTGCCTATTATGTGTCTTACATTTTAATATTTGGATGTTTTTTTACCCTTTCAATGACGCTGAGCTCTTTAATGCTGTCGAAAACATACATAGCAGATCTTTATTCCTACACATCCTGGTAATTGTTGTCCTCTCGGTTCTCTGTTACTACATATCTAGTATTCCCAATGAAGATTGATGTCTAGTTAGAGCAATTTAGAAAGAGACAAGTGAGAGATTTGGAAATGCAAGAGAGCATAGAGAGGACAGTGAGAGTCGAGGGTAAAGCATGACGTGGAGGAATGAGGCAACGGAGAAAAACAGAGGAAAACAGTGTGTGAAAGAGCAGCCTTGAGTCTTCTTTGGAAAAAACAAATGAATCTGTGGCGGGAAGAAAACCCGCAGGTAGGATTGAATGAGTTGAAACACCGTCATCACAATCCTGCGGGTTCAAAATAAAGGCCTGCATGCGTTCATCATTGCATCAGAGGTTTTTGTTGTCCAAAGTCCGCAAACGTCAAGATTCCGAACTGAATAGGATACGAATCGTGTTGTTTGAGCAATGTGTTCACCAAAGTTATCACATTTCATCCTGAAAAGACAAGTGTGTGTCATTGTAATCAATGCAACGCAAAGGGCTTCCCCCAATTCATACAGATTCATCATCTGGACAACTTAAATGTCTTTGTAAAGATTTCATGGCAATCCACACTATGGTTGTGCAGATGTTTGGTTCTGCTGCTGTTAACTTTTGGGAAAAAAACCAACATATCATAACAGCTGCTGGCTGCTTGTCCAAATAATTAATGGACTTCCCTCCCTTCCGTTTTCATGTTGACAAACTGGTGGTTTCTATTTACCCGTTGACACAAAAGAATCAGCCTCAACCGCGTCTGTGCGCCAAACACGAGCAGCATCAGCGTCGCTGCAGAGACAAAGCGCTGTACGCTGAACGCCGTGTGCAGCTCAGTCAACCTCGTCAAATCTAACAAGGAAACTAAGCGTCTTCAAATGAGACCAATGAAGCAGGACACACACACACACACATATTCTCGCCTCACCTAAAACATGTTTTACTCGTGTCTTTGTGTTTATACCCGTGTAAACATACTCTGACTGTGCAGTGCACTCCTGGAGTGGGACTTGGCTGAATACCAGCAATGGGAAATGAGATAAACTAAAGCCAGGAAAGGAAATAAGACAGCCTCCCTGGTGATAGAGTCAAGCAAAGACGGATGGGACAGAAGATATGCAGTTATGGACCCTGCTCCATGTGGTTAAAAACAAAATGAAGCTAAAAGGAGGATTTTCTTCACGCTCTCATTGTTTCTTTCTCTTTCGCATCGTCGGATTCCACTGAGCTGATTGAACCATCGCTGTATAATCCTCACCCTGTGAATATTGCGTTTATCTGTTAACTTGTGACAGTCACCTCTGACTGTAAGCTGTACAACTAACCGTCGCAACCACTGGCCAAAGTCTCTGCACACGGGCATCGCACCAGCTCCATTGATGCAACCGTGAGCCGCGCTTAAGAGAACAAATATCTCACAAACGGCGCTCTATTAGTCTCCTGATGCTGAACTAATTCTCCCTTTTCTTTTCATGCCCACTAATATAATGGCTGAGTGGGTTGATTTTCCAACACTGAAGAATTACCTTTGGCTTCATAAGAATCTGACTTCATTTGTTAAATAAGCAAGCTGCTGAGGCTAAAGTGCAGTTGAAGCGAAGCAGCCCTCTAAATATTAAACGTCTTGTTTAACAGGAGTGTCTTTGCTGATCTGCCAGGTCGCCACAGTCCTTACTCACATCTGGAGTGCAGAGGTGGTCCTCCAAAGTAAACTGTGTACTTGTGCATGCATGTTAGTGTATATATTTGCATGCGTGTTTTTACAATAGTAACAGGTTGTTTGCTTTAGGGGTGCTTTAAAAACGTTATCGCATTAATAAGCAGAGCTGTCCTACTGTTTCACGGGTAGTGAGAGAAGGAACACGCAGGTCCGAAGGCATGAGGCCACTTAAAGGGTTATTCCGCTTTATTACAAGTGAAATGACACATTGCATTGTATCACGCTGGTGTTTCCCACACTGGGTGCCCTGGAGCCGGGTGTGTGACGCAGGTTTGTTTTACAGTCACTTCATATGTGCACAGGAGTGATTCGTTTTGTCAGGCAGTGGGTGTAATTTGACCGCTTTGGTCGAAATCCTGTCTTCCTGCTGCTTTCTGGGCTTTTTAAAGAATCTGTGTACTCTCTGTGTTACTGGATCTCACCGCAAATCAAAGTTATAAAAAAAAAAGCTGAATGATCATTTAATAACATATTACATACTCTAAAAATAAAAACGTTTAAGTTTCCATTTTGTTCCAATTACAAAGGGATGACGAGGCTAATCAATTGTGGTCAAGCACCACAGAAACATCAGACCACAAGGAAGCCAAAACCAAACCCTCCTAACACGAGATCAACGATGACTGTTTTGAATATAAATTGAAAGATTGTTCCTTTTTGTGTTACAGTGGTAACTGGTAACAAGGCATGCGTGGCGTGATGATGCGGAGAACAACAAGTGAGAGTGACAGACTGGGGTTCAGGTCCTGAGGGAGCAGCGATCGAGCTGATAGAGGACGGCGTTGCACTGCGCCAGGAGCAGAGCGGTGACGCTCCTCCGACCCGGCACGTCTCTTTTTTAAACGGGGTTTTGAAGGCAGGATGGGCAGAGGAGGTGCAGTTGGTTTCTGTGAGACTGTTTGCTCACAGGCCCAACGGGTCGTGTGGCAGCTTGTTCGCTCCGGTTTGACTTGTTCTTGAACTGTTGTGAGTCAGAATCTGTTTGGCAACGTGCTTCAGAGGAAAAGCTAACAGGTCATTTCTCACCTTTCCAATTCCACTAGAATACATATGCATCATGTTTATATTGGTTATATCTTATGAATGCCTGATCCCACATTATGGGATAAGTTAAATCGTTGAATGTGTTATAAAATGTATTATATGTTATAAAATAAATACATTTAAAGCTCAACTGCCGTGAAGGAGAAAACCTTCTGGCACAATTGTAGAAAATATTATGTTTCAACAAGCAACACTGCCAGCAAAGAAACGCTACCCGTCAGTAAAATTACCCAACAGGTGGAGCAGAACCACAACGGAGAAACAGACATGGATAACAGCTTGACTCCATTTCCTTTATAAAACAGAAATGATGGAGACAATCTTGTTTTGCTTAGCATCGTCGTCTTCTCGAGAATGAAACAACCAACTCTTTAAATAGAATCTCCCAACTGTTGCCAAAACAATCATGCAAACCTCCCACATTCCTAATGTGCTCGGTTACAAAATCCTTTTTCTTCCATATGAGGTGGACCCCCAGAGGCAAGTCTAAACAATCTGACGACGTGCAACCCTCTCCATCTTCCTCTCCCCTCATACTTTTAGCATTACCTAACCCTCGACAAAGAAGCAGGGCTCTGACATCCCAGCAGCTGCAGGCAGAAATTTGCTCCGCAGACTCAGTCCAGAAGACCTGACAGACTGCGGGTAGCGACGGAGCCCGCGGGTGCAGCAGCAGGTTGGAGGGTTAAACTTGGGTGTGTGCAGAGTTACGGAGGGTGGAGGCAACTGTCACTGCGTCTGTGTCTTTTTCTCTCACGTTCCGACTCCATCTACCTCCAAACTGACCACGAAATACAAGTTTATTGAATTGCGACCGTGCACCGGGAGTCCACAAGGGCCAAAGGTCATCTGTCAGGTCCGTCGCCCCTTTCAGCAGGCGACAAAGGGGGAAAACACGGTAGGAAAATGAACTAAATCCCAGACTGAAACAGTGAGGAGCCGAAGCCCTCACACAAGAACCTCATGGCTTGTTTGCTGGATGCATGAAACCACTTGCAAGCATATGAAAAAAAAGGTACAGATGTTGACAGATGAGCGCTTCGGTTTGCTAAGTTACAATAAACAAAGTAATAATTACCAGATAAGCGCAACGCGTCGGAGGCGTGCGTTGACGTGTTTACAGTGGTTTGACTGTGATTCTCTGACTCTGAACACTGTCCTGTTTTCAATCGGCTAGACCAGAAGTCTTTTAACTCCCCAGAGACGTGGAGCTGAGATCTCCTGCAGCTGTTCAGCGGAGGTGAAAATGTAACCCGGGAGGAGGATGTCAAGGTTCAATCACCACAGAGCCTTAAAACACTTTGCTTTGTGGGACTTTAGAGCTCATTTCGGGAACATTGAAGAAGGTGTAGCAGTGTTTTGGTTGTATATTTGTCTGCTGTAATGTTACAGGCTGCAGGATGTGGTGGCCGTGTACTCACACTCCTACCATCCTCCACTGGAAAATAGTCTGATGACTATGTTACTATATTTGGGTTTCTGTTGAGATTCATGATCAAACTGATAAGAAGGCGAATAAATACATAACAAAATATCAGGATAATTCACTTTTAAACGATTGAATACATATCAAATTGAATTAAACCACTTTCTTCTTTCGTCTTAATGGATCTTAATGGATGATCTAGTAACAAAGATACTCACGTTGGAGTCGAGTTCAATCCACAAACCACGATGAACACCAATCAGGGCGATGAAATCCACCTGACGGGGCGTCCGCGCGGAACCGCGGGGGGAATAAACGCGACTCTGTGTCCGCAGGACGGACGGGCTTCATGCTGACAAACGCCGGATGGAAATACAGGAGACTTCCCGGAATGTCCATCTGACGGAGCTCCCCTTGCGCGCGGCGCGGCGCGCGGAACCGAGAGGAGAGAGGAGTGAGGGGAGAGGAGAGAGGACAGAGGGGAGAGGAGAGAGGACAGAGGGGAGGTGCGCGTTCAGCTGCGAAGGAATCAAGGCAGCACAACCGATCTTACCTTCATTCAGAACCAACGGAACGGTTTTATTGGCTTGTGATGGACAATCACACGAAAAGCAAACGCATAGAGCTGCAGGCTGCATCTGCCAACTTCTAAAAGTTATCCTTTAATAATCCTATGATAAAAGAAATTCGCAAACGTTTGGAAAAAACATTTTTTTTTTAGATAAAATGCAGTTAAACACATAAAAACACATAGCTACTGTCTCTAGTGGTTTTAACCCATTCTGATCCCTGGGAGTCATAAATCAGTAACATCCTCTAACATCTCACCACCTGCGGTAAATGGTCCATTTCATCTGATTTGGCTGCATTGCAGCAGCAATGGACAACCAGACTCTTTGAATAGCAGCACTGGCCTTGTTATTTGATGCTGTTTAAATGTTCACGCCCTCTCCAGTATGAAACAAAAGTAAAAACTCATGGCCTTGAATGATTTGAAGAAGTCTTTGAAGCTCATTTCAAAAACTGGACTTTGATTGTTAAGGTTCTCTCTTTTAATGTGGGAGTAATATCTACCCGAGCACAGATTGAAGTTGCTCCTTTGTTGTTCCACCTGAAATGAAGACGCTGTTAGCAACATTGCGGTTTCTTCCGCAATTGAAATGTTAGCTGCAAGTCACCCTGCTGAGAGCTTTGTCGAGGCAAAGCCTTGAAGTACAGACATGGTTGGAATTTTGAACTCCGGACAACCCGTTGCAATGTTGTGCAATCAGTTATTACATGTTTTTGCATATACGGCATATGTCACTATTACCAGAACTGTGATGTGCACTCAGATGATATTAGCAGTCATCATGACTCATTCAGAGTGGGAGAGGATGTTTCACAATGGAGATGTGATGAAACCACAACCCTTCGGAAACAAAACTGAAATGCTGGTGCACACGGACCTGGACAATGGACCTCTTTGTCCACAAAACACATGTTCATCACATTTCAACGTGATCTGCAAAACCTGTTCGTAAAAATGTATACGAAAATCTGGAACATACAAATTCGTAACAATAAATACGAACTGACGGTGGTTAACCACGCCCCTTGAGTGAACAACATGGCGGACCGTGTCGGATTCTTGAGTGAACGTCTCTCTGCCATGTTGGATTTTTTAAGGGGGTTAGGGTTAGTATTCGAATTTGTATGTTCAAGGTTTTCGTATACATTTTTACGAACAGGTTTTGGAGATCAGGCTGCACATTTATCCTGTTATTTGTGGGCGTGTTTTGCTGTTTATTATTTGCCAACCGAAGACTCTTGAATTAAACGTAGTTCTCAGTTGTGTGTCAGATCTACATCCAAAAACACCATTAAAGGTTGTTATCATTCTAAGGTTGCCAATGTTGTCAGCCCACCATTATTGTTCAGACTGAGGCAGTTCAACAAAGTATTGAATGGATTTCCAAAACGTTTCCTCTTTCATGTTCCCGGAAGGATGCCCAATCAACATCGTTGACGTGCATTTTGCATTTCGCAATATCAGGTCAAATGCGTGGGTTTTGTGAAATACTTTGATTCATGACGTAATACTTAATAATACTTAAAATACTTCCTCAGCCGTATTTTGCTAAGAACCTTTATTATAGTTACTTGTATTTGCCAGGTTGGCATGTTGACCAGGAAAATATAAATGTTCACCTTGTCTTCACAACTTATTCCAGCGGCCTTCAACATTTGAAGACATGCATCATTACACCAAACACACACACAAACACACACAGGCATGCAGGCTTCTTTTGTTTAGAGGCAAATAGTATATTTGCATACAATTATTAGATATTTCCTAATGGAGAAGCAAATCCCCAGGAAAAAATAGACATTGTCTTCTCTGCCCGATGCTTTCATCTGTACATTTTCTAACGCGTGGATGATCACTGTGGAGTGTTTGCTATCCGGCACGTAATGTTTTTATCAGCAAACAGTGGCTTCGCTCTCTTAAAGCACAAAAGCATTGTGCTTTGCCGAATCTGTGCATGACGGACTGTTGCATCTATCTAACAGCAGCCCAGTTCATTACACTGGCATTAGTGCAGTGAGCAGCCAATGCTTAATGCCATTGAGATAATGGCCTCTAATGAGCATGTGTGCGAGGGAGGACAAGCTCTCTTGCAGCACTGCGGTCTTTGACTTTGAGACAGACTGTAATTAACAGCGTTGTGTCCTCTTCTGCGTTGTTAGCACAGCTGACCTTTGAATGCATCAGATGAGTGAAGCAACACATCTGGTAAAGCCGCAGTGTTCGGGGAGAGGAGAGATGAATGGCATATTAAACAGAGATTGTCAGTCAGAGTGCATTTCACAGATTGTTGTAGGACTTTTAACTGTTGATGCTTTTATGTCCCAATGCGCACATTTTTCTTGAATATCTATTTTAAATATTAGGATATCAAACATTTGCAATATAATTATGTAGTAATTCATACCAAAACAAATTATTACAGATGGACCAATTTTTTTTACTATTACTAAACGGCACGCTCAATAACGTCTTAAGGTAAATGAATGTTCTTTAAGACATGTAATAAATGTTGTAAATGGAAAAACAAACTATTTGGTTGGATTTTTAAACAAAAGATCCTGGTTGTTGTTTTTTTAATTAGTACAACATTAACAAAACATCAACAAAAAACATAACAAAATAACCTTTTGGAAGTTCTAAGTTCACACTGGACACAAACACCAGGCATGGGGGAAGGTCCCGTGTTTTTTGACCCACCGCCAAACCTCCACTCCAAAACCTCCATTTTACTCACGATTAAATAACATTTCACTCTTTTGCCAAACCACAAAGCCTTTTCCCTGGAAAATCCTTTTTTTTATCCACTGCTTAACTTGCCAGTAGTTTTTGCAATCAAATCAGCGAGTCAGCGCTACAGACCGTGTGCACGTTGTTAAAGATTTGTGAGGGAGGTGAAAAGACAAGCGGGCTCAATTAATGTTTTCTGCCAGAGATTTCTCTAAAGCTTTGCTCTCACGCTGCCATGTCATTTCCAGAGAAAAAGCCTCTGCTGGGAAGTTATTCAAATATTTTCCCGTGAGTCAGATTGGGTCTGCATTCTCCCTCTGAGTCGGTGGTTCTATGGGCTTCTATTAGTTGTTTCGGCTCTTTGAATTTTCTGAATCATAAAGAACTATTACAAGCAACGTCTGTGTAGATATTGCTTCATCAAAACCACATGGTTTTATCATAAAAATAACAAATAAATGATGAAACATGAAGTGTAAAGCCATCCTGAAGGAAAATAAATATAGACATAGCGATGAAGTTGCACAGTACAGCTCACTTCTGAATGGCCAGAAAGGCCCCCTCCTTTACACCTCAACCTGACCTTCATACTGATTAAAAAAGCATTAAAAGTTGGTTCCTTCTGCCAGCGGACTGCCGCTTGGTGCTGAAGAAATCAGTTTTATCTCCTCCTGCCTTGGCTGATGTCCTCGCTGCACTGAAGGATGCAGTTGAACTACAAAGCATCTGAGACAGATGTCAAGAAGGACTTTGAGCCAAAAGCATGACTGTCTGCAGACTCTGCAGGACCACTTTTGATTCCCTTTCTATCAGATTTTCACAATAGCAGTATTGTAAGAAACCGATGAACAGGTGATATCGGCTTGTATGCTGCAGGTGGTATTTTGCAATAAGACCTTCTAGAGAAATGACTCTTCAGGAGTAGACGTTTGTTCATAAATAAAACACAATATGAAGAGATTACAGATAATGAGCTCTAGTGATGTTCTAAGCTCAGTGTTATGTTGGCTTGTGTTCTGCTGCATAGATGAATTAAAAGACCTTTCCTGAAATCAAAGTTACAGTATCCAAAACAGTTTACAGGCCCACATACTTTACCTTCTAACTTTACATGGCATACGTAAAGGGCTATTTTCCTTAAGACATAAAGACAAGAATGGTTACAAATCACTCTACTGAGGAAATATCTTTTTTCCCCTCCCATCTGACTCATGATCCTTGGTGGAATTGTTGCAGATCCCTGCAGACCACCATGGCAAGGGTCAGTGCCACACGCACCCGCACACACACATACACACACATACACACGCCCCCGCACACACACACACACAGACCAGGAAATTCTCAGCTCTGATTTCTTTACCCAAGCCTCCTACTCTGTAAAAGATACGTACAGCCACAGAGGCTGTGGAGTCATTTGGGCCTCTGACCACCGCACACACATCTACACACGGACATAAAAGCACTATTAACATCTGACCTTGTCCCACAGAATTTCCCAGCATGAATTTTAAACATGCGCCCTCTTTGCCCAGACCTGAATGACCCCCATAAGATAACTTTCATCACGTTGTCATTCAGTTGCCAAAATACGGGATGTGTTCCTTATGGTGTGTTTCCCATTAAATGATTAAAACTCCTTAAAATTCCTCAACTGTTCTTGTTGTTGTTGGAAGGGAAAATAAGCCTGATTGAAATCAGCGGACATTTATATGCACCAGCCAGAACAAACAAATCTACAATGAAGGATGCTTGTCAGACCTCAAACTGCAGGTATGTCCGGAGGAAAATTCTCCGCAGCCGTTCTCAGGCTGCACTTCTCCAGTCTCTTCAGCCCTCTCACTGTCTGCAGATATAGACAGGAGCCTTTATTGCAGATTAAAGTCAACACACAACAACGGCAACAATGACACTGGCTTGACATCATGTCCGAAGCTTTCCTTCGTAGGACAGCACAGATCATCCTCGCCACCTCGCTTGAAAATGATCATATGTGCACATGTCCGTCGTTGTTGTGTAAAAAGTAAGAAAGGAAATGGTGACACTGTGTGGTTGTTTTATGAAAGTGAAGGTTGTGAAAGGGTTTTCATAATAGAACTAATGGCTTTAGTTATTGAGAATAGATGAAAACATGAAGAAAAGATGTTGCCATCCTCTGTAGATCTAGATCTGTTATGGGCCTATAATAATAAGAATTTTCCACAATGTGGGAAACCAAAAATGATTGGTCTTATAACTATCTATGAAGATAACAATCTATAAAACATTGGCAATTGATTTATTGTCAATTAATACAGCCATTATACACAGAGTATAACCCCTATTGGACATTTATAAGTAATATACTTTGATTTGTATACTTGTGTAGTTTAATCAATGACAATAGAGCATATTATGTTTGTATGTATTGTGTAACACACAAGCCTCACACAGATGTTTTTATCTTTGTATTTTTTATTAATTTACACGGATTCTGGAGACGTGAGCTGTGCGAGCTTTCAATAGATGGAGAAACAGGTATCGGGTGGCTGCAGTAAGACGGTGCAGGAAATGAAACTTTACAATCTGTCAAATTTACAGTGGTAGCAGGTCTTCCAGGGAAATACAATGACAGACAATCAGTGCAGTTATTTTCACTGAGCTTCAGGGAACATAAATGTTTGAATAAATGTTGGACACCATCACAAATTTGGCCTTTTATTATGATGTTTAAATTTCGGAAAAGGTTAATGACAAACTCTCTCATAGATGTGGATTGAAATAAGTCGGCTGGACGAAACCACTGGACACGAAGGGATGCAAGAGCCCCCCAGTGGAGGAAAGCGGAAGCGCACCGGCCGCGTGGAACATCACGTTACCGGAGCTGAAGCTGGGAAAAGTTTGGTGGAAGCCGGCGGCGCTTGCCCCGCAGTTGGACGGGTTTGGACTGACGTTGACCAGGGAGTTGGAGCCGGGCTGCAAGGTGCTGTCCGCCCCGGGGTTCTGCTTTTTCCATTTGGTCCTCCTGTTCTGGAACCAGATTTTCACCTGGGTTTCGGTCAGACTCAGGGACAAGGCGAGGTTCAGTCTCTCGCACACGGACAGGTACCGAGTTGAGCGGAACTTGTTTTCCAGAGCCACCAGTTGCTCGTACGTGAACGCTGTTCTGGCCCGCCGTGGTTTGGCACAGGCCTGGTCCGCGCGCCGCCGCTTGTGCGGGGAGGGGTCCTGCTGGGCCGCCGCTGCCTCCGCCTCGTCCCGCTCCCCGGCGAGGCACAGCTCGGCTTCAGTCGGTGGGGAAAGCGCGAGAGGGTCAGCAACTACTGCACGGTGAATGGAGGACGCAAAGGGTTCATCTCCTGTCGCTTGCCCTGTAAATCATTGGTATCAGAGTTAGTCCACGTCCTGTAAGTCTCTGCAGCAAAATGGACTTAACGGATTGCGTGAGGATTTTCTGGATTTTAGTTTCATAGTTGTAACATACATCATGTTTTTACAGTTGTTAGAATTCAATCTCTGAACGTGGAACATACATTTTAAGGATTAAAACATTTATTGTATTCAAAAGAAGAACAATGTTAAACGTCTGAGATCTGACATCCCTGGTAGTATATTTTCAAAAATTTTCATTTTGCAAAATAAATAAATTAAAAAATTGAATTAATAGATAGTTTACGTTTCGAGTTTTGAGTCACACGCTGGTTAATTGAGTGGTGCTGAAAGAACAGCTCCCGACAAGCCAAAACGCACGTGTCAAACGTCAAAAGTGAAATGCATATACGTGCTTGAGAAGCGAATTGCGCAAAGAAGTTCCTTTTTGTACCACTTTACAGGCACGATACCAAACAGAGAGCCTGATGTTTACCTCCGTAACGCCGTTTACATTTGGACCGTGCGGTTGCTCAAACGTAGCGAAAGGGAGAGACTCGCTCACTAATCCTTAAATAATTTATAAACCGCACAGCCCCTCAAATGTCATGTTGCGGAAAGAAATCCCGTCTAAATCCCGCTTCGTCACCTCAGCCGCGACGTGCTAATGGAGTTTCATATTTGCAGGTAGATCAATAAATGTCATCTATTTAAAGGGAAGTTCTAATCGAACGATATTTAGGATCAGACATGGATGGGGTGTGAAGTTTGTACCTGCAAGGTGCTGGAGGGAGATATGCAGGATGCAGTAATGGGATATCGATCAAAGCGCGCGGAGGCATCCTCAATGGGACGATTTAAACAATTATCTAGCCTGCCTGTCCCCGTGCCAATCACACGCTGGGGCTCTGGGAGCAAGCCTTTGTGGCTTCTTTGAAAGGAAACGCAGCACAGGAAATTAAGGGAAGGTCACACAGAGATGACAATAAATCTGATAGAAAATAGCGTCTCACTCGCTTAGTCTAGACACATAGTAAAAAAACGTTTATCGTGATAACCTACCGATGTATTGCATATGCTCCTATTTTAAATTGTTTATTTTCTATATGAATGTATTAGTGTAAGGCTGATGTTTGAAACATACTTGCATATACCCCCCAAAAATATTACACATACGCGTTTGATCCAGAGGAATTCAAATAGTGCAGGTGTCTATTTTCTCTACCTGCTTTCGTGCACTCAACTCTGAAGTCTCCAGTTGCGGTGCCGTCCGACTCCTCACTTGTTCCCTCTTCTCGTGGCTCAGGGAACTTCTCAACGACGACGGAAAGTTCGCTTCCTCTTTTGCTATTGAATTTGTTCGGATCCAATATATCAATTATAGAAAAGGGAATCTTATGACTGGACGTCATTGTCTCTCCACGGTCCTTGGAGTCCAGCATCCTTTCCAGAGAAAACACCTTTAAAAGACGGAGACTGCCGTGCGTAATTACGCGCGTGGATTGAAACTTCTCATTGTTTTTCCCGCTTCTTGTCTTCAGCCTTCGTCAAACCGGATTAGCGGCGATGATCCCTCAGAATATGGACTTCGCTCCTCTGCTTCTGTCTGTCAGTCTTGCAGCTTGAATGAGATGACGGGAGCGCAGTCTTTAAAGCGTCTGCCCCCCTCCAAACCACAGCCTCACGTGACACAAACCCTATTAGTGTTTCACACGACCACCTAATGGGCTCAAAGCATTCGTCGATAATCACCCATATAATTAAATTCAATAATCCACAACGTGAAAGTAAATTGGGCGCAGATGGCACTTGATCTATATCAGGCATCGCACTGTCTCCCCAAATTGGACTCTTTAAGAGGCGTTACTAGGCGTGATAGGGAGGAGATTGTTGTGTCCCTTTAGCCAAAGACAACATTCTCTTGATGTAAACCCAAATGTTTCTGCCTATGATCTCAGAGAGCTGCACCTTTATCAGTGAAAATAAATAACTTTTTAAAATCGCAGTGAAATGTCCCTTTTAGTTTAAAAGTGCCAAGATTGCAGTAATCAGTTATATATATATTTACCATATACTATATACTATATATATAATAAGTCACTTATAATGTGTCCTGGTAGATAAGTGTTTATATACTGCTTAGAAACACAAATAATTAGGATTATTTTACAATAACATTGAAGATACAGCAGCTTGAATTGAATTTCTATAAAAACTTGATATATTGAAGGCAATTTAAGGTTATGACATCTATTGTCGCGTAAAATGTTCGCACACAGTCAACTGCAGGTGTCTTCTGTTAAAGATGTGGCTTCTTTGTTAGTTGTTTCATGAAACGGATGATCATTTTCCCAGTTTTGCATTTCCAACACTTAACATGTAATTTAACAAATTAAATGGTGTAATTCATTGCTTTGATTCATTTAGTGAAGAACTATAAAACATGACAGCAACATACTTGCTAAATAAGTGTTTTAGGGGAGTCGGACAGCTCAAATGGATCTTGATACATCTGTCCATGCATTCAAAGTTAAATTGCAGTCATACATTCTGATTGTTTCTCCACCTAAGATGATAGTTTGACATTCACAGTTGTCTCTCTCGTTTTTGCTATTAGTTTTCAATATAAAATGGCACAGTGACACCGGCTTGTTTAAAGCTTGATGCCTTGTGACGGCTAAAATTGTGAAACTGCAGCTCAGGATCAATATTCTCAGCAGGTGTCCAATACAGATAAACCCTGATGGCTACAAAAAGCCATTTTGGCTACTGGAAGGCCAAACCAGTTAGTAACAGAGCTTCCTCTAACTCCTCAGTTCATAAACAACTTGCATTTCCAGTGAATGGCTTTTACAATAATTTAATAATATAAAAATGTGACTGTTTGTAAAATAATACAAGGTTGAAATCAGTGGTAAAATATATATTTTCTCCGATACTCTTAACATATAAATACCATCTAAGCCTGTGAGGTCTACATTGTGTGAGGATGAGACAGATGCTGCTTCTCTGCTGACATGGGGGATCCAATCGTGTTTACAAACTGGTAAAAGGTCTCTCAAATTCCTCCCTGCACCACTTCCTGTGTTACTTATATGGTTTACGGTCATTATTCGGCTACATGGTGGTTTCATTGCTACCCCGTCGTAGTCTGGTGCAGCGGCACGGCCTGCAGTAGTTACATAGTCAAACATTTGTTAAAGCCGCCCCTACGGGGTGTCTGCATGTCCGCATTTGCATGTGTATGTCGCTTGCACGCCCATTACTGTAGCCCCTCCATATGAATAGAGCCCACCGCACAGTGGAGGTTTACAACTTCCTACGAGGGAGCCCAGTGGCTGGACATCTGTTTGTGTGGGTCAGCGGAACAAAGGGAAACGCCCCCCCTCGGCCCCCAAAGAGGCCCTCAGGTAAACTTCGGAGGGCGGGAACAGCAGTGGGCTCAGCTCAGAGTCTGCACGGGCCGGAGTGGGACTTCAGAGAGGATGAGGGTTCCTCCGCGGGGAGTCAGAGAGACACACTTCCATCCGAGACCCCATCTCCCCCCAGGGGTCAATAAAGTCATCACTTCACAGGGTGGCTGCCCCCAGTCTGCTAAACGTCAGATAATTTGTCTAATGGCAGGAGCCGCATTACGAGCTCAGGTTGTAGTCGCAGACTGTAGTCTTTATTGTGCTCTTTAAAGTCCTCCCCAGCTCTCTGTAAGTGGGACCCAAACAAAGGCTCAGCAAGTGTCTGGGAGGACTCTGGGGGGACGCTGGGGGGACGCTGGGAGATCCTCCGTGCTGGACTGTGTAGTTTTTGTGGTTCCTAAAACATCACTGAAGAACGTACAAGTAGTTCTGCATGTTTCGGCATTAACATTTTTCAATTTTCATTATTGTTCTGTTCCTGAATAGTGCTTGATTTTCTACCTTCTTCTTTTACCTGCAGTCATTTAAGTAACATACATGCCAGAGACCTCGTTCGTCTCTATTTCATCTCAACAAATCAACATAATATTTTTCTTATTTTTTACTTATTATTCAAAAATTGGGGTTGATGAAAGCGTACAGACGCTTGTTTATGCCGATTGATCAGTGTGCCTTTGACCAAAGAAGACCTACTGTATCACTACTGCTGAAACACGAGATGATAACTGATGCTTTTCAAGTTTACTTTCATTCTGAAACATGAAATCAATCTCATAACCAAGGCATTGAGTGGAACATTTCCCACAAGTTATGTTCATTTGACTTTTGTGTTTAACACCCCATTTCAGCTACTACCTGTATGCTTTCACTTCATCGCGTTGGCCTCGATGTCGCCACTGCAGAGTTAAACCTCTATCATCGTGCATAAAGCTTCCCTTATTCTGACTAGTCTCCTGCCGGCGTTGCTTTTTGCCCGCCCGGGCCTCCTTTCAGTTAGACCCCCGTGTTTGTTTGACTCCCTCTAACAACAAGGTCAGTGGCATTGCCCGGTAATTGTCCTAACGGCCTGTGTACCTGTTGGGTGGAGGCGAGTAATGAGAGTTTTTCATTATGGGCGGAACGGGTGAGTGCGCCTGGCAGATGCTGACAGGCAGCAGATGTGTAAAGTTGGGGGTGATTTGTAAAGGGGTCAACTGCATCACAGAGGAGACGGAGGGTGATGCGGGCCGGGGGTAAATTATGTTGAGGGACACTGTCAGTCATAGTGCGTCCCTGTCACAACAAGGTAAAGGTCAGTTCAAGAGCTGATGTGGGCAACTTACAGCCGGCACACAGTGGTCATGTTGGCAAAGTGAGCAAACTTACCGACACACGTGACCAGAAGATGTTGACTCTTCCAAGGTCTTGTTCCGTGGCTCAATGCAAATAATCTTCATTTGTTTGCTATCTTTAAGATGTGCCGCTTGAAAAATGAATCTCAAACTTCAGTCTTAACGGTATAGGGCAAAGCTGCAAAATTTGTGCAAAATTGTCTCATAAATGATACAAGGACACACAAAGAGATGCATTACTTTCCTTAGGCATACACACGGCTTTGCAGGTAAACATCTAGTATGAAATCAATAAAAAAAAAACTCAATCCTCAGTTGTTAGATAACTGTGGCTGATGGACCAAATAAGCAGAGCATTTAACCTCATATCCATTTCTTAAACTCGCAGAACAGCAGAACTGATGTGATGTTCTACAGACCAGCAGATACGAATAACAAGGATGAGACTTTGTGATAAACAAGCAGGTGGCTCGGTAGCCTTTTGGCTTTACGGGGAGCCCAAGCACACGGGCACAAAGCTCAGCTTTTGTGACCAAATGATTTGGCTGGACCTTTAAGATTTCCTGTAAATCAGGCTACACAAAATTGGCAAAAGCAACCGGCGGGGGGTTGCCGAGGGGGGGGGGGGGTAGTTATGGAGAGTGTCGGGAAAGAGGTGTTCGCTGCCTGTTTTCCACAGGCCCGAGGCCGGCTAACAGCGTCTCTGTGATCCCCGGCATCTGCAGGGAGCGCACTGTCACTCAACGTGAGCATTGATTAGCCGTTGTTCTGAGAAGGTCACATCATAATTCATTAACAATAATTAGTCCCGCAGCGCCACCTGCACTCCTTCTCCCGATTGCCCTGTTAAATTACGAGCAACCATCACGGTTCACGCGTGGAACAATGAAGATGTATCCGCAACGCAAAGGCAAGAGCTATTAGTTACATTATTTAAATGGACCCGTTTAAACCTGGGGAGCTGTCTTTATGAAGGGCAATTAGGCACTAACCATAATTGATAATTCGTGCTAATTACAATTAGGAAATATAAATAGTGGGTGTAGGATTAATCATCATTGTGGTTAGCGGTGGAGCCGCCGCGGTGCAGGCTGGGTGGGTTGCGATGGAAGGCAAGGATTGCGCCCCATTCGTCTCCATTTAGTGCAGAAACAGATTGTGTTTGTCCCTTTATATTTCTCCACTGACCATTATCTCTTTTTTGTTTCTGTGCCCTTGCCAAATGGTCCAGTAGGTTGTGAAACTGTGAGGCTGTATTTAGTGAGCTGCAGAACGGGCACACAGTGGTGTGTGATGGTCTTCTTTGGTCAATGATCAGTATTAGTTTCACAGCCTGGATTCTAATGTTTATATTTTACGTTCTAATTCAGTAAGTGAGTAATGTGTGTTTAAAGCTTTATTTGAAATAGGTGCTCACACAGTAAACTTGTAGCTGCACATGTAACTATGTTACCAAAGCACACCAGATTGTTGTGTAATATCTTTTGATAGGTTTCCCATTAGACAAGATGAAGAGGTGGTAATGTGGACGCACATCTTAAACGCTCGGCTCGTGTATTTTAACACGCACATAGTTCGTTGACAGTGTTCCCTGACTTCGTTTGGATTATTTTCAATCAAACCCTCCCCTCACCTTTGAACCTGGTGTCTAGGGCACAGCGATGAAGATCCGTAATCTGATCCAGCACATTGCCGTTTTTTTTTTATTTCTGTGCACGGTGGCATCATCATGTGACCCCTGCGCTCTCATGAACTGCTTTAATTCATGTTGAGAGAGGACAACGCTCTTAAGCCTCCAATGTTTGACGAGTCAACATACATCAAGTGACTGACAGGGTCTTTGGTCTTAGAAGAGACAAAAGTCTAATTTCAATGCAAATACAAAGTCGTCCTAGCTGAGCAAACATGCGTATGGAAATGATCAGAC